CGTTTTTTATCCGCCCTCGTGTTTTTTTGTTTTTTTTATCTCCGCTATAACTGCTAATTGGATACGTGAGCTATCTGAGGTAAAATATAGCGCTTTTTAATTAGTAGAACCGAGAACGAATGTACATGTATAATTTGCGTCGTAATATAAATCCGCGAATAAAATAAACTCGACGTTTGCGAGAAAACTTGAAAAGCACGTGTGTCACGTGTGCTCGTCAAAATGATAATTTTTTATTTACACTAGTGCGAATAAATGCGTGACCAAAGATACAGCTAACAATAATTTACCACTTCACCGTGATTTGATTACGCGAACGTAAGCGGAGAGGATCTGCCACTTGGAATAAGTGGCTGACACAACGAACAAATCTGTCCGAATCAAAGAGACGGAAATAAGATAGACGGAGACAAAATATCTTTTATTTACGATAATTAACTTGAAAATTTATTGCTTTCTAACAGCGGTTATCCGTTTCTTGATGTCTCTCGGTTTGCTATTTCTGTGCAAACTTTCAGACGTCAAAGGATATCTTACTTAATCGCGACGGCTTTATGACGATTTAATTTCGCGTCGGGAAATTCAAATATTTCGAAAAACGTTCGCCAAAACGATTTCGGTGCGTCGTCATACGCCACTTTACGCCGCGAGAGCGACGTTGAAAAACATACGTAATATCTTCATTTCGCGACTGTCTACCGACGACGCGTTCGTTCAAAGACGTCATCACGGCTGCAAGAAGGGACTCAAAGAGAAGGCCGTGTGCTAGTCAAGACGTGTGCTATATATGTATCGTTAAACGTGAATCGCGGTCGTGAAGGGGAGCTTCTTTTCGCCGCGCATTCGTGTTTCTTTTCACATCACCCTAAATACAGCTGGTCAGTCCGGAGAAGAACCAGTTAGGGGAGTTTTTGGACTGGAAACCGTGCGCAGCTTTGCGTTGCGTCGTTTGAGAGAAACGACTGAAATTTGAAGTAGCGTTTTTTTTTTTTTTTTAGCTTCCCGACGAAGAGTAATTTCGTGCGCATAGTGAAGTTGTTGGAGTTTTCAACAAAAAAAATATCCGTTTTTTTTTTTTTTTTTTAAACAGGATAAGTTGTCGGGAATTTTTCTTCGATCTTTACGCGCGCGATCCTTAATTAAATTTCCACAATCGGACGGTAAATACGCGCGATGACTCAAGCGTTACATCAAAGGAACGTTGTCATTCGCTCGAACGCATCGATGATCTGGCGATTCTACGTGGCGCAAGAATATTTCATTGTTATATTACTACAACAACGCGTTCGTAACGGCTATTTATATGAAACCGACATCCCACAATTACGTTCTCGGATCTCGATACCGGCCTCCGATAATTAACGATGATCGCATAGAGTAGCTTCTATCTTTTTAAACGAATCGCATTGCGTCAAGCGTTTTGCGTTTTCAATACGCTGCAATTTCGCAACATGACAAATTTCTCATTTGATAAATAATGTATCGACGATTGAATGCAAATTGAAGCGTGAGATTGGCGTCAGAGCAGCCGAATACTCGGGTATCACACGAGTAATCGAGTCCGCTTGTGAATATGATTCAATGCATCTCCATTTAAATATTATCTTTCCCGTTTCAAAGTGTGTTAACATTCACACGCGTCCGATAACGTGATCGATCTTTTTTTTTTTTCTTTTTTTTTTGCACGAGTTGTGCCTCGCGTGAGTTTTTTTAAGAAATCTTTTTCTCACGTGAAAACATCTTCCGTGTGTATTTTTTTTATTATTTGAATCACACGTGGCAACGACGCGATGCAGCAATCTTGCAAACACACGAGATCATCTCGTTCATTGATCGTTCATTTATAATAGATTCCGCGTTGATATTTTTAAACACGCCGATAAATATATAAGGGAGATCGTTTATATAAATACACATCCGTATCGAATAGCGTAGTAATACTTAGGGGTCAGGCTATTTAAAGCCCGCACGATCCGAAGAGAGGCGTTCGCACTCGTCATTTACACGCGACTTGCGTCGCCCGCGTTGACATGCAACACATTTTTTTTTATCTTATCGTTAAAGTTTTTTCCACATTCAAATTTTTCAATCACGCAAAGTTTTTTAAAGCGCGTTATTTACGCGCATTTGGTTTTGTTGTTTTTTTTATTTAAAATGTTCCGTGTGTTTATTTCGCGTATCAAATAATTTTTAATCAATTAGTAAAAACAAAAAAAAAGAAAATTAAAATAGCGAAAAGAACGTGTGGTATTTTGCTGCTGCATTCGTGTGTTGCGTGTCTTGTGCTTCACATGCACGTGACTTTGAACAAAAAACAACACGTCGAGAAGATATTAGCGGGAGCATCGTAGCGTTTTGCACGATGTACCGCAGACAACCTTGTAGGCGATAATAATGACGTAACGAAACGAAAGCGCGATAGTAATGATTCAGCATACGATACCGTGCATACTTCTCTTTTGCACGCGTTGTCAGCAGAAAATCGGGTCACCGTTCAATGCAGCGCGCGCGCGCGCGCGCCTATCATTTAACACGCACAATTCTCGTCGACTTGTGTATGTTTTTTGCTGTTCGACAAGAAACATTTTACACAAAAACATAAAAGTAAAATAAACTACGCGTCACGCAATAAAGTGACTCACGATGATAATTCTCGAACAATATCGCTAACAAATTCATTTTTCTTTTTCCAGAAAATATTTGAAGTTATTTTTCCTGATACGTTACTGCAATCAATTCGCGTAATTAAAGAGAACAACTCAATTGTAGTTGTTTTAATTTAACTCCTTTATATTTGATTTAATTATTGTTGCATCGACCAATCGTTTGATACCGTCGGTACGCACTTGTCGTGCTTCGTCACACGCGATATTTCACAATATCGCGCGCGTTGGCTATAAAAATTCTGTTGTTTTTCACGAAGGACGAGCCGCGTCTAATCATTTGCGCTCCTTCGCGGCGGCGCTTTCGAGATCGCTCGGCGGCTCGTAGAGCAACATTCCACGGATCTCCCAGAGCGACCGTGCCCATTCCTATCGAGCGTAGCTATAAAGAAAAGGCTCTCGCTTAAACCCGAAAGAAAATCGCGTTTTGCTCACACGAGCGCGGAGAAAACGCGAATCTCTGGTTCTCCACCTGTTCAATCCGGCGCAATGCCGAAAATCAAACTTGAATTACGGAGCCTTGATGCGCGACCTTCTCTCGGGATCTTCTCTCTCAGCAGGTCGATCATTTCGAGCCGGCTTGGCGGCATTCCTCGGCCCACGCCTCCTCTCCTTCGTCGCGCTGTCAAGATCTTCCTCTTCCTCTCCCTTTCCTCCGCATCTCGTTCTCCCGACAGTTGTGTGATTCGATCGTTCGTATAATTTATCGAATAATTTGGACCGACGTTCTCTGACGTCGTCCAAGAAAGTGCGAAAACAGTTTCAGTTCGGTATGACAATGTCTATCTATGTATAAAGAGACACGCTGCATCGCGCAACTACGCAGTTCTGGTTCTCAAGGTGAGATTGTACCAGAGCACCTGTTGTACGATATTTTAATTCGGAGCAATAATGGATCGCCGCCTCATTTGTTTCTTTCGCGTTTCTTAAGTACCGAACAAGTCGAGCTCAGGGAAATGAGAAAAATAATAACAATGAAAGAAGAGGGAGATTCTGACGTTTTTTTTTTCCTCCTCTCCAAAGAAGCACTTCACGGAACAATCGTACCTCCGAGTCCTTATATTTCATTCTCATCGACTTTCACCGGAGAAACTTCCGCTCGGGCAAGGACGTTTCTTGACGCGCGATTTTGTCGAGTTTCTCGGGAAAGATGTTCCCATTTTCGAAACTGTTTCTCTTTGATAATTTACGACGTGCCTGGGAAAACGTTAAACGTTTGTTGCGTCTGTCCGTGCAATTCCGTTGAAGTCTGAGAAGTCGCGCAGAATGTAGACTCGATGCGCGCACACGCACCGCGCGCATTTGCATGCGAACGGGTTTCGGCGCGGCCAACTCTCGCGGGTAAGCTATTGCATCTAATTGTCATCAGTCCGCTTGACCTAATCGAGAATCGCCGCGGCCAACATTGCACAGACGTGTTTTTCGCTTTCTGCCGCGTCCTCGTACCACCTCTCGTGTTTATGTTTATTTTCGAAGACGATTCGAGAGAAAGGTGTCCCAAAGAATATCTGTTTTGTACTTATCTCGTTTGTTAAAAAAAAAAAAAATAGACAAAAAGTAAATTTGTTGATGATAAAAGCAGAATGTAGAAAAATATAAAATTATGATCTTTTGTAAAACCGGAATGCAAAAAGTCACTCGTAAACAAAACGCAGAAATAATTCGCAAACATGTACACGTATTGCGATTCGTCAGCACGTATAGATATGCCTCGTTCAGGCAGATTTGTGTTCGGGCTTCGCAATTTGGGCCAATCGATGATCCAACCGAGACGTAATCCAATAACCTGCCGTGCTCGCTTCCCCAGCAAATATCCAGAATTTCTCGCGCGAACACGCAACAGCTGTAAGCAAATTCAAATCGAGAATGCCGATAATCTTTTGGCGTAAGAAATTAATTAAAAAAAAAAAAATAATAGAAACTATGCACAGAGAGAAAGAGAGTACGCGTGAAAAATATGAAATGAAAAAAAATTACAATTCTAATTAAATTCAATTTTCGTCAGGAATGTCTCTTGAAGACTAAAAATGTTAATTGAAATGTATAATTAATTAAACTGTTTGCAATAAATCTACATGCATTTCGCTGATTAAATGTCGCACAAAATTGTAGCGAAATTCATATCAAGCCTTTTCACCGACGCGAGCACGACGGAGAGATGCTAATATTAATTGACACATGTAATTAATTAAACTTATATGGCAATAAATCTGTGTACACGTTTCATTGATTTTTAATCGTCGAATTAAAATAGCGAAATTTGTATCAAAACCTTTTCACCGACAACGGACTTCAAAACGATCGTTTTTTTTTTTTTTTTCTTTATATTACTTTCAGGTGGAGGGAATTAGGCTAAGATGTCACAACACAGCGATGACAACGCCTTCACAGCGACATCGGATTCCTTTTGGGAGCCGAACAACTACAAACGTACGACACGTAGAATCGAGGACGGATACAAGCTCTGCGACAGCCTCATATCGTTGGTTCAGGAACGCGCGGAAATCGAGAGAAGCTACTCCAAGGCGTTGAAGAACTGGTCGAAAAACTGGAACGAAAAAATCGAGAAAGGCCCCGAATACGGAACCACGGAAGCGGCGTGTAAGGGTGTGCTCCTGGAGGCGGACAGATTGTGTGATCTTCACATGAGGATTAGGGAAGAACTTTGCAACGATATTGTGCAACATATTAAGACATGGCAAAAAGACTCTTATCACAAAGTAAGAGAACCGGATGTTATATTTTACGTCACACACAGATTTTTTTTTTTTTTTTTGTTTTTATTTTTGCAACGCGCCAAACTTCTTTCGAAGGAAAGTGGAGTCGCTGAAGTATTTTTTTTTTTTCAATTAACGTTTTACTTAATTTTGCAAAAAAAAAAAAATATTCAGCAAAATTACGTTGCGCGCATTAGAGCGACTAAAATGATGAAGAAAGTATCGCGCGTTTCCCGTACTTTTGAGAGAATATCTTACTTGTTTGCGCAAAAATTTGGATTCTGTAATTTTCAGTCTATGATGACCCTAAAAGAACGAAAGGAGATGGAAGAGGCGTTCAAAAAAGCTCAAAAACCGTGGGTGAAACTTCTGCAGAAGGTCGAAAAAGCGAAATCGGAATACCACAACAGTTGCAAAAGCGAACGAACCGCGGCGACTATGGAAAGGAACGCCATGGCAGACAGCTCTCTCTCTCCCGATCAGGTGAGCGTCAGGTTACAACAGTCGATTCTGTCTCTCGCACATAACGTAACATATATACTGTTTATATATAGACCATAGGAATAGAGAGATACATATAGAAATAGAGAGATACATCTATCACACTTTGCTATCTCGTTTGCTTCTAAAAATTCCGAATACGTTATTCAACCGTGTATATCGCACAGGATATTAACCGGCGAACGTGCATGCGTGTGTGATTCCTACGGTAATAAAATAACATATGTATTTACTTTACAACGCGCACAAAGTGCGTGTGAGAAAGAAAAAGTAGTTGGCGTAAAAATAAAAATTTCTGAAATTATCGAGCGCAGTTGTGTATCCGCAGTGTTGTCTGTACTTGCAGCAGCAATTCGCAGAAGAGAACGCATTGACGAGGCGTGAAGGGCGCGCTAATTAAACATCGGTAAATCGAAGCCTTTATTCTACTTGTGAATGCGCGATATCTTTGTGACACGTTCGTTCTGCTCTTTTGTATTCACTTGTTCCAATTAAGATCCATGATTCCGCAAACACAGATGTGTTTCCACCTTGAAGACCCCTGTATAAAAGCGTGTGACGTGCAAATATTGTAGTAATTCGACACCGCGACGTATCTACGCGCGTTTCAAAGCAACGTGGTCTTTCCGAAGCGTTTACGATAACAATTACAGAAGGGAAATTACTAATATAGACATTATTATATATAGACGAGCAGAGCATATTTTTTTTATACATATATTAACACTTTCTCTGCGGACTATAAGAAATTATTTTGTAACCGAATATGTTTCGTAGATATGAAAAGTATATTAACATCACATGTGTGTACACAGACGCACATATGTACGCAATCATGTTCAAAAACCATTAGATCTTCATCACGCGCACGCGCGGTATTTCACGTACGGTAGATACAGTTGTTCTTCAGCAGTTCTTATTACTTACAGATGGTCCGAGGCACCGAAGGCGTACGTTACACTTTGTATAATTTCTTTAAGAACTTTTGCATGCGCCGTGTTATTACATATTTAGAAAGTATTAGAAAATACTTTACGCTGTAAGAGAGTATATTAAAGAATAATTGGTTGTCTTTTTTTTTTTTTTTTTTTTCTATCGTTTTGCGATAAAACTAATGATACGCAATTTATTCGCTCGCTACGACGCGGCGTTCCTCTCGAACGTCTCCGTGTATTTATTTCTTGTCGTTTTTTATTTAAAACCGAAAGGATACTTTGCACCGGTCATTGTACAAGGCGATTCATTTTTTTTTTTTTTTTTTGCACGATCAGTATTTTTAACACGTGTATGAACGACGATGCAAAATGCTGTTGTGACAAATCTGTAAAGCGAAAGAAAATTTATATTTCAGCTTTCTTTCGAATTTTATCTCATTAGTTTTTGTTTGAATTATCGTTAAAATATATGATATGTGTCACAAGAAAATGTTCAATCTAGAAAAAAAGATAATTTTACATTTTTTTTTGAAACGTTTTTTTGTTTTCTTTCTTTTTCGACATCGTTTTTTTGAAGCGCGCGATATTGTCGCGACACAATAATATAATTCCAATATCAGAGAAAGAGACATCTCTGAAAGACGGCTAACGACGTTTTTAGATAACAGATTGTGGATGTGATGCATGGAGGCTCAGAGTACCAAAAATCCGTAGGAATAATAAAATAGGCGACGTTCAGTTTGTATGTATATGACGTTGCATGTCGCATGTTTTTTCTCTCATTTATGATTTTTTTTTTTCATTTTTCTCTATTACAGAAGGCTCTGACGGTAAGCAAAAACTCCGATCTATTTGCTTATCGCATGAAATGTATTTAAAACGAAATTGATCAGTCGAATGTATCAGAATGTAAATGAAGACGTAGCAGCAGTTGTCTCTTTGAAATTCGTATGTTTTTTTTTTTTGTTTTTTTTTTCATGCATATTTTATCATCCAATGTCGACTTTTTAATTTTGGAAAGAAAAATGGTAGCAGAGACTTTTGCTCGTTTACACATGTTGAATATATTATTGCTTCGCAATTGTTTGAAAATGTACGTCGTTGCATGTACGTCGTATGTGTATACTTGAGAAAATGAAAGCGCGATTACAAAGATTTTATTCTTTACGGATAGAAAAAAAAAAAAAAAAGATGACTGCGACTGTCACATTCACATGTTTGATTCACAAGCCGATTAAGTCTTCAATTGGACGAGAATTCTTGTAACGTATGAGAAATGTGCAACAACGCACATACGCACATAGAATATGAATAATTAATGAATTAATTTACATAAATCTTATTTTTGCATATTAAATGTTCAGAGAGGCAATTAAGATCTTGAATTTTTACGTCAAACTCACTTATAACATTTTCATACGGTTCTCGTATTTGTTATATGATTTTATGTGACAAATTTATTTATGATTTATTAATTTTTTTTTTTCGTCATTACGTTATTTACATACGTGTAGCTGTTATTTACATATATGTAGCTTTATAAATAAGATCACGCATAAGTAGATTAGGCAATATCTCTAGTCTAGCATAATAGTACGTGTAATAGAATGATATAAATAATCAAATTACATATATATGTTCTTCCATGCACACACCATTGTGGCATGCGAAAATTGCCGTATTACTTATTCATCCCCTTTTGAGACTTTGAGCGCCGCGTACGTATTGAATTTGATGATATGAAATACTTTTGAAGCATTGGTTTCAAAATTCCCCGAAGTCCACCGCACTCAAAGTATCAATGTGGCATTCACGCTTCATACAGCAAAGAAATATTCTCTTAGCAACGTTAAAATTGAAGGTAAAGAATTGGGAGAGAGTATCATCTTCTATATTTATCAAAAATATATTTGTAAGAGTTACATATTAAAGTTAGAAATTCAAATTGTTTTATTGAATTTATTAGTTTATCGAAGTAATAAACAGGATTCGAAAATAACAAAGTACTATGTAAAAACAAATAAATTCATAAATCAATTGTCATCTTCAAAATTTTTTAAGTCGCTTTCTAAAATTTACTAAACTAAGACCGCACGCACAAAGTCTTCATCTTCAACTTAACGTAAAATTAAAAGGCTCGCTCTCTCTCTCTCTCTTTCTCTCTGAAATTCCTGAATTTTCTCGTCTCTTTTAACAGGTGCGAAAACTACAGGATAGAGTACACAGAGCAAAAGAAGAGGTGCAAAAGGCAAAAGAAAAATATCAGGCGGCGCTCACCGAAATTACTCAATATAATTCAAAATACATGGAAGATATGTCGCTGATCTTTGACAAGTGTCAAGAAATGGAAGCGCAACGATTACGATTCTTCCAAGAAGTATTGTTCAAAATCCACAAGTGCTTAAACATTTCGCAAGATTCTGAGTGAGTGATCTTATCTAATCGCATCGACGTGTTTGTCATTTTAAAAGTCTATCTTGTTTGAGATTCAATTTATATTATTATTGTATTTGCTTATTATTGTATTGTTTTATTATTTTTCAGTCTTAGACAAATATACGAAGAATTCCATCACACGATAAGTAACGCCGATTACAAGAAAGATCTAAAATGGTGGTCGCATAATCACGGCACGCGGATGGCGATGAATTGGCCCGAGTTCGAGGTAAGTCGCTTACAATAGTAGCTACGCCACAAAAGCTCTACTGTCGCATGTAAAAATCCTGCCCGTGATTGAAAGAGCTGTTGTTAGACAACATATATACATATATATATATATAGCTGTAGCGTGGATGAATATTATTCTATTTTAGCTCCTCTTTTATTTACAATAATTTTACTATTACTCAGTGGTCATTATGTGTGCTTCGGTATATCTTCTTTTTATTTCTGGCACTGCGTATATAAAAAAAAAAAAGTAGAATATTTATAATATTGATATTTTCGAAACAAACGGACGAATTCGATAGTTAGAAAAAGATTAAGTTTTGCATTGAAAAATAAATTTTATATCTATATTTTATTCTTTTAAAAAAATAATAAAATATTGACTTTTAAAATCGGATAAGGAGATTAAGAAGAGAGAGGGAATTAATATTCGCAAAAAGAATAACGCAAGTAAACTTTCTCTCTTTCTCACATACTTGAAAAATATATAAAATGCACAAGTATATTTTATACAACAACAAAAAAAAAAGACAAAAACAAAAACAAATCCTTGATACTGTTCTGGAATGCGTGCATGTGATTGTTTTGGGACGTTGCTATTATGCAGGACTACACAGAGGAGTTCCGCGAGATCACGAAGGGCTCGAAGTCAAAGGAGGCGCTCCCGGCAGGCTCCATCACTCTCATCAATCAACGCCCGTTCGACGAGGATCTGCATGTAAAGTTTTGTTTATATGCTAAACATATAAACGTGCCACTTTATAAATTTATTGAGCATTATTTTTAACTGTTCGACGCGCATCGCCAACAACACATTTATCTACCATTCTCGATTGTATACTGGTTTCGCCTCGATCGCGGACACAATGATCGATCGTCACCGGCGTCAGTTAGGCTGGCACGCTACAGCTTTTAACAGATATTCCATCACGAGGTCATTCAGGATAGATTTTCTTCCTCCAGCTTTTTTAGTTATTCGGCATTTTGCATCAATTTAACCGTAATTTGCTTCTCACTTTGCGCTAATCGCACGCAAATTTATATAGACCCGTAGATTAAACATCGATAAATTCTGAGAGTTTTTATAGAAAAAAAACTAGTTGAGAATCACATGTGATCACACTTCACTGTATGTTCAGTATTGCTTGAAACGATGCAAGAAAACATTTAATAAAATATATTTATACGCAGAATGTGAAATTTATATAAAGGAAAAAAACCACTTAATTTTTTTTGTGTGGATCGTTCTGTATTTTAATTTTGTGCATTATATGTACGTAGCATCACGTGCGATTTGAGTTGAATGTAAATTAATTCTAATGGAGATATATTTTGCGCACATTCACAGCGTATAACTTCTCTGTGAAAAAGTAAGCTTTATACACATTGTCAAATCTTTTCAAATTGGATATATATCATTCACAATATATCGAACGTTCGAGTAAATCGCTTTTTTTTTTTTTAACGCATATTCGAAATTATTATTACATACATCGCACATATATCGTTAGCATGCCTGTTAAAAGCCGAAAAATTTTCAAATGCCAGAATTAATATGAAATATTTGTATATATACGCATGGAAATTTCATCGAGAAATTCTCAGCAAAATATCGCATTTTAAATCGCCATTGTATGTATCTCGTGAATTTAATCGGAACACGTCTGATTGGTTTTTCCATTTATATGAAAATAGGATTATTCATCGATCAACGACAAGTCGAAATCGAAGTCTGCCAATCGAGTGTCGATACCAACCTCGGATACCAACAATGCTGGGAGCAGTAAAAACAACACAGCGTCAAGTAACAAACAATCTCCAGAACACAATAACGAAGATAACGTTAAGAAGACTGTTACGTAAGTTTCCGTTTCATGTTTATTGTGTGTTGGTCGTTGTGAGTTAGCAAAAAAAAAACACATTGTACGATATAATATCTGCAGTAACGGCACTAATGACAAACAAGAGTCAAATCCATTCGAAGAGGAAGAATGGGATGACGAGGGTAGCGATCCACTTGTTGATAATGGCGAACCGGGAGTACGAGTACGCGCTTTATACGATTACGATGCGGGCGAAGCGGACGAACTTAGTTTTCGACAAGGTGCCTATAAACATTTAAATTTCTGCAAATTTTACACTCGATTGAAGTTAATTTAACTTAATTTATATAAAACAATATATATATATATATATTTTTTTTTGTAGGAGATATATTTGAAAAATTAGAAGAACAAGATTCACAAGGATGGTGTAAAGGAAGAAAGGACGGCAGAGTGGGTCTTTATCCGGGCAATTATGTAATGGTGCTGTCGCAATAGATTGTATAATTATTGATTAGTAGATTATAATAATGATAATAAATTAAATATAATTTTTTGCGTTTCTCGTTTCTCCTCGCTGTTGTCTATAAATATTATATATATATAAATACCGAGAATTCTATTTATTTTATTGTTATTAAAAAAGAAAAACCCTACTAAAGATTAAAATATCTAAAACTGTATAAAATATTTGAAGTATGTGATTGTTTCAAATGAATGTGAGAATAATGAGTTGCGAAATTAATGAGTGAAGTTATAAATGTAAAATTAATGTGCGTGAAGTGAATGTGAAATTGAAGTGTGAAGTGAAAAAAATGTACAGAATAAAAAAAAAAGAATGTACAGAATAAAAAAATCGGGTCCAAAAATGGACAATTGTTCCATTTATTAAGTAAATATCATATAGTTTTTTTTTTTTTTTTTTTTTTTTTTAATTCGAGTTTGACGCAGAAATAAAAATGATCGAACATTTAAAATAGGAAAACTATTTTTATTAAATGTTTATCATTGTTTTGCAGTATAGCCGAGATTATTACACCAAATATAGTACATTACTAATCGCTGCCGAGTTTATGTGAAAAAACATGTACATTATAGTGTGTATATATATTAATTTATTTACTTAATCGTATATAGAACTTATTATTATTTATTTAACTCGAGTACCACATTTCCATTTGCAAAAGTACATTTATATGAAATATACTTGCATATTTGTTATATATTTTTTGCATTTACTTCTGTAAGCTTATTATTACTCATTGTGGTACTTGTACATCTCGTTTTTATACAATAGAAATTACTGAAAACAATTAATTTTTATTTTAAGCTATGAACACAAAAGATATCAATATTTTTCTTATTTTATATAAAATGTAAAATCTAATGACATTCTATTTTTATCAAACTTAAAACTTAGTTTTTCTCGATATATTACCGTTTTTGTAGAAACACTAATTTTACGGATGAGAAATGTGTTGTTGTAGGTTTAATAAAAATTTATATACTTGTTCTGAGAGAAATTTATATATATTTTAATATTTCTTTTCATAAGGATTAAAGACTCAATACATTTCTCAAACAATATTAACCCTAACCTAACTTAACATTTGTGTGTCACACACTTTTACAATTTATATATAACATATTATAATCATATAATTCATATAATTCATTTGCATTTTTTCATATGATGTGTATATTGAAACGAACATATGTTGAGTAAATTTTAATAATTATTCCTTCACAACTCTCAAAGTATTATAACACACTTTTCTTCTTACATATTATAAATGTATTTTATCTGTGTTGTGTTGCATCAAGATTTATAAGTTTTACTTTTAGTACTACTATAAACTTAACTCATGTTTATGTCGTGTCTAAAATTAAATTATCAAGAAATTATTTCTCAACTTTTATACGCTTTATCTAACTACAACGTGTAATTGAAAAGTTCAGAAAACAAAAACATATGTGCGCTTTGCTTTAGAGTAATTAAACTGCAAATATTGCTTGCAAACATTTATAGAACAAGAAAATTGAGAACTGCATATTTTTACAATGTAACATGAAAAGGCTCACGTCAAACAATGAGAATAGTTCCATTTTAAGAAAATACTTTGCAGTAAAAATATTTGGTTTTTCAAATATTTACTTCAAAGTTGTAGTCTTCCATGAGACATGCAAAACGTTGCAATTTTTTTTGTTTTTTTTTTTTTTATATAATATTACACTCTGTATAATATTTTATAAATCGTAATTCTATACACACTCTCTTTCTCTTTCTAATAAACAAATTAAACCCCAAATTTTCTAGACAAATATATATACATATGTATATATAAAGAGCATATAAAAAAGAGCACTTTACACATTTCTTATATTTTAATTAATATTTTTTACTTTCGATTAATAATTTATCCCAATTATTGTTTTGTTTTTAATTATTTTTTTTTCAATTTTACGTTACCTATCGGGCAGTTTTTTAAAATTCTGTCACGTAGTGTCCACGTTCTAATAAAATAAATATTTTGACTGATGCGTCTCATACAATAGACAAAAAATTTATAAATCAATTCTGAGAAAACGTTTATAATAATATATTGCAGTTAAAGAAATATTGCAGATAAGAAATATTAATTAGTACATTTTAATATTGTTTACGCGTGCGAGTTATTTCTGCATCAGAATATACAGACCGAGTGCAGCACAATGAAACAACACAATAGTCAGTTTTTATCTTGAAAAAAAAAAAAAAATATTAGGTGTGCCAATTCTGTTTGATTTTTAACTAAACTCTTTGTTTGTAATTAAAATACAATACAAGGTCATCAAAATATTATAAACTTTACATTAGCTCTTTTTTTGTGTCTCGTTTGTGTACACTTATAACTTTGGTTTAAAAACGAATAAATCTAAATAAAATTAATTAGCACACCTAATAAATCGTTCGTGATAGTGCGTTACATATGGGTCATCACATGATCTTGCAACTCTTCCTCGGTACGGAACGGTTTGTCGCATAACTGACACACGTTCGTACTCGCTTTATGCAAACTGATATGTTCCGTTAACTTATCTGCGTCGAACAATTCGTCACAAACTGAGCATTGATACGCCGCGTCAGACAAAACTTGCTTGTGCCGCTTTCGCGGTGCGACTTGAGGAATTACTTGAAGTTTTTGTGGTGGTTTCAGATTGGAAGGAATATTGTCAAAATACAGTCCTGTGTTCTTTGTTTTAGCATTATTATTTTCACTCTTCTGATTGTTGCTCGGTAATTTGCTACTACTTTCGTTGTACAAGTGTTGATTGACATGCTCTTGCAACAGTTCCTCAGTCTTCATAGACTCGCCGCAGATACCACACTGATATTGTTCCGGTTCTTTGCTCTGTTGTTCGTCGTCGCTCGGCACTTCGTCGCAGTGTTCCTGCAAATGGTTCTTCAGCAATTCTTCGTCCGTGAAGACTTTATCACACAAGAAGCAAGAGATATCTTCCAGTCGAACAGCCGTGCTGGTTATTTTGTGAGATTGAATGTCATTTTTGTTAATTTGAGTCGGCGTTTTTTCCTCAGTTTCTCGGCATCGCGTCGCAGATTGCGTGATCAACGTATTCGTATTGTCGATATTTTTGTTCCTGTCTATCACCACCTTGCATTGTTGACCGTGGTCCACGGAAAAGTGCTGAGATAGCTGTTCCGCTGTAACGAATCTACGTTCACATAGATAACATTTGTAAATCGATCTCTCGTTACATTTGACCGAATGCTCCTTTACGCAGCGCTCCTCGACCAGTTCCTTGCATCTCTTGCAACGCATTATCTTCTCCTTTCGTTGCGGCGTCTCGTTAAGACCGCGTATGTCGTCAGCTGTGAAGTGCATAACGGAAGATACATCTCTGTGACTTCGAACATGAATCTCGACGTCTTCTCGATTGTTAAACGAATTTCCACAGAGTCCGCATATGTGATTCTCAATTACAGCACCCTGTATCCTGATCGCATCCTCGTAATCTGCGCTCTGTTCGCTTGTCTGTTTGACGGTGTTACCTTTACCCGTTACGGTTGTACCATTTGTCGTCTTATTATTGTTATTAGCGATATGTTTCTCTTTCTCCGACTGATCGCTTTTCAATTTTTTGCGTGATTTTGAGACAGTTTTCTTCTTTTCTTCAGAAGAGCTCCATTTGTAATCAGGATCGGTATCGAGTGAGGTCTGATAGTCGCTGTATCTTCTTGGAAGTACACTCTGACGTTTGCGGCTAAAGAGGTTAAACGGTTTTGTGAGATTTTCTTCTGACACGTTTTGCTTTAATGTAGAAATATTATTAATGTTGTAATGCTTGCTTTCTTTAGCAATATCCAAACGTTCCAACACCACTCTCGGTTGGTATATGGCTTTTGTGTGTTCAGAAATCCCCCAACACTCGGTATCAACGTTTTTCCTAAAAGTTGCTTCCACCAGATCCTTTATCTTCTGATCGATTCGAGATTCAGAATTAATGGAAGTCGTTTCGTCAAACGTAACGGAACTTATCTTGTTCAATTGTTTGTGCTTCAGTTCTTTTTCGATAAAATTTGCAACGCCAACTTGCACGCGTCGTAGAACATCAAGTTCTGTGCTCTCCACTTTGAGCTCTAAACATCTCTTGACGGATACATCGTTTGTGGGATTTACTCTACGCAATTTAATTGCATCAATAATACTAGTATCGCTTTCTTGCTGTTTCTCGTCATAATTCTGATTCAAATTGTTTGAATTGATGGGTGACTGAGGAAGACTTAATACCGATGAAACATTAAATATTGTGTCACTTACTATTATCTGTGAATTCCACGAAATCGGTTCGAATGTTTCGTTACTTTCGTTATTTTCGTGCGAATCCACGTCCTTTAGCGTATCCATGGTGTTTTCAGAATCTGAGAAATTTTCTGAAAATAATTTTCTCACTGGCAATTCTGTGTCATTGGTAATTTCTTTAATAGACCGGTTCAACCATTTCTCTTTGGGCTGAGGAGTACTCGAACTTCTTAATCTCGTTCTGCCTTTCTCGGAATCCGAATGAACCGGAAATTTGGAGAACTTTGGCGTCAAATTCACTTCCAAGCTTTTTAACACTTTTTCAAGTCTCCGTTTCCTCAGATGTTCTTCAATGTTTTTATGCGTCTCAGAGTTCTTGTCCTCTGAATTTGACTCGGATGATAATGTACTGGTGTCCTTGCTAGAGAGTAAAAACTTTCTCTTCGCCGCCCAGTGATTTTGTAGAACAGATTTAGCACGTTTTGCAGGTGACAGTGTAGTTTTAACTGACATTAAATTTGACTTCTCCTTTATATTCTCTTGAGCATTTTTTATACGTTTTCTCGCGCTTTTTCTGTCGTTATTGGAATTTAGTTTGGCCAAGAAATGCTGAGATGAAATTTCGTCGTCGTCTGATGATATAGATATAACATCCTCTAGTGTGTGTTCAGAACAGTTGTTCTGAAATAGTAATAGGTTTAGTAAGTACGTTTTATCCACAAAATGAAAGAATAAGTAAGATAATTCGACTAATACACTTATATTATGTAACACACTATAATTAAATAACCTTATATATACCTTATCAGTGACAGAAGTACTCTCCTTGATGTTTTGATCTAAAGACTTTTGTTTTGCATCCACTGCTGATCTATCTTCTTTAACAAAATTTTGTATCTAAAAATAAAAACAAAAAAAAAATTTATATATTACTTGAGAATTTGGAAGTTATGCGAAAAGATAAAAGTATCAGATCCAAATTTAAGACACAACAAAACTTCAAAAACAAAAGACAAAATTTGCATTGTTATTTGTTAATTGTTCCATGTTTTAATATAAACATGCTTTAACATAAATAATCAATAAAAATTACTTTTAACAAATGCAATTATCAAATTAAAGATGGTATCATGTTTTTTTGTTATAAAAATAAAAATAAATCAATCTCTCTTTGTATATATATAAAAAAAATATTGAACTACATCTGGTTCCATTTCAAAATTACACAATAAAAGAAAGCTTTTATACAAGTTGTATCGACTACTGTATTTTGACAAAGAATAGAACTGACAAAAAACTATCAGAACCACTCACAGTGTTATCCGAGGCTTCTGATATATCAACCTTTTCCATAAAGATTTTGTTGTTCTGTGCAAATCGTTCCTTAAATTCGGTCCAATCGTTCATTTTATATAAACAAATATGACACACGGAGTTTGGCAGATTATCCTGAATCTTGAGCTACGTTAGAACAAAAACAGAAAGAGTTTGAATAGCTACAGAATCATTTTGAAATCAATGATTGAATGTGTAATATGGCAAAGCAATAAAATAAATGAATAAAGGACCTACATCAATTGAGGTGCATTTGGAAAGATCCTGGAACATGGTTCGTACAGCCTTATCCTTGAAACTAATCACCGCGCCCCGCTCGCATAGACAAATTCGACAGCGTTTAGTCATGTTCTGTAGCTCATTTTTGCTCCCCATTTTTGCAATCCCTAAGAAAGTCGTGCATATGTTAATAACCTTTCGGCATTGAGGATATAATGCGTGGTCTCTCACGAGCGACAAACGGAACGATGCACAAATCGATCGCAGCGGTCACAAAATAACGATATAACGCGCTTAAATAAATCGCCGCAATGGCGATCACGGGCACAATCCGAGTGTTTGATTTAACGACACGTATCTGTTAGCAAAACGTTACTTCTGCCAATGAAAATGCTATTTTCTATTTTGAATGAATTACGGACATGACAAGACGCACTTACCTAGGTGCCAAGAAAGCCCGCGAAACGGCAAAAAGGGTTGCGACTACTACGTTGATAGTGAAGTCGAGAGTCCGCGGATATATCTTCTTTGGCCCGTGATAATGCGCAAAATGGAGTTCTCTATTTCGCTCAGTCTATTGGTCGACGTGAGTCGGGACGCGTCGGTGCTGCTACTTCCCATTGGCCAAACATCACAAGACAGAAGCACGTAGATCGCTCGTGTTTACGTTGCAAGTGCGGAAGATGGCGGAGGATCAGCGCGTTCGGAAATACGCAATCGCGTGTTGGATTTTAAACTTGGACGCGAACCAAATCGTCCACTTCCCGACAACAGGTACACAATTGAAAAATATACTTTGATTTTACTGATCGCTAGTTTTTTTTTTTTAACTTACATTTTTTTTACGAAAGACAATTTCGTTTCCAGATTGTATCTTGTAATAATTTAGTGCAAGATATAATAATCGACAATCTAATCTGCCGATCTGACGATGTTTCTTCGGCGTCGATACGAAAAACAATTTTGATCTTGACACACGATCAAGCGTGTCGTGACACATCGACCATCGGTACCGCGCTTCACTACGTGAAGCGGCAACAAATTCTGGCAATTTCTGCATACAAAATCGATTCGGCTTCTATGCGATAACACGATTGTGAGAAATCGGAGTTGTCTTCAGTTGTCTCTCAAATCTTCGAACGGGCGAGTAGTGTGCATTTGTTCCTGAATTGCTCTTTGAGCGAAAACCCACAAGCTTTATCGATACAAGTGTGCTCGAACGCGTTTTATCGTGCAAACACGTACGTACAATGTATTTTTCGTTTCAAATTTTTAACATTTTTCCACGTATATAAATTTTTCTCCACAATGGAAAAGATTCGCGTTGTATATATACGTTTTTTCGCTTAATCACTTCCTGCACGCATTAGCATTCGCGCGCTTTCCGTCGAGAGAATATTCCGGAACGGCCGGGCAATTTTTAATTAAAATTACGAACGTAAATTGTTGATTAATTTTCGATTTTGAGAAGACGAGCTTTTAATTCATCAATTTTTTTGTTTTTGCAGAATGGCCGAAATAGACCTGTCTCCCGCAAAAGACGGAGGTGTGCTGAAGGAGATTCTTAAAGAAGGAGTCGGAGATGAAACTCCGACAACCGGTTGCAAGGTGAAGGTTCATTATACCGGCACCTTGCTCGACGGAACCAAGTTCGACTCCAGCAAAGACAGGGACAAGCCATTTAAGTTTGATCTAGGACGAGGCAGTGTCATCAAGGCGTGGGATATTGGTGTAGCTAGTATGAAAAAGGGCGAAATCGCTGTACTAACTTGCGCTCCTGAATACGCTTATGGCAAGACTGGTAGTTCCCCGTCGATTCCACCAGATGCTACATTGAAGTTTGAAGTATGTAGATATTAATTAGTGTATGTTTATCAATGTTAAAGAGAAGTAAATTTTTCTTATATATTATTATATATATATATATATATACATGTATACAAATCAATGATTTAATATATTTATCAAACTTACAATTCTAAACTTATAGAATATTTGTTTCTTTAGATTGAATTGTTAGATTGGTACGGAGAAGATCTAAGTCCTAGTAAGGATAAGAGCATCCAGAAATTCCAGATACAAGAGGGAAAACGTTATAGCAAGCCGGAAGAAGGTGCTCAAGTAAACAGTAAGTATTTTAGTAAGTTAAAAAAAAAAAGTTTATTATATATTATATCTTTCTTGATGTTTTTTATCTAACAGTTTTTTCTTTATTTTTTAGTACACTTGGTTGGAAAGTATGATGGACAAGTGTTTGAGGAAAGAGACGTAGAATTTACTCTTGGAGAAGGTGAAGATGTGGGAATTGTGGAGGGTGTGGAAATAGCGCTGCAACACTTTTTGAGCGAAGAAAAATCGCGACTTTTAATCAAAAGCAAATACGCGTTTAAGGAGGAGGGAAATGCCAAATTTAATATTCCGCCGAACGCCGATGTAGAATACGAAGTAGAACTAAAGAGTTTTGAATCGGTAATATCAATTTTAAATTTAAGTTTTTTTTTTTTTAATCTTATATCTTTCTTGACTGATACTGATCGCTGAGTGTATGATATTGGTTACAGGATTCGGGAATATGGTCGATGAAATCGCCCGAGAAGATAGAACAAGCAAAGATACAGAAGGAAAAAGGAACAAAGTACTTGACAGCGAATAAAATCAATTTAGCCGTTAAAGTGTACAAGAAAGTTTTCAAATATCTAGATCCTGTATCAGATTTCGAAGGCGATCTCAGAGAGCAAAGAAACAATATCGCACTGGCAACTCACTTGAATCTTGCTTTATGTTATCTGAAAACCGATGATAATCTTTTGGCAAAAGAAGAGTGCACCAAAGCCTTAGAACTTGATTCTCAGAATGAAAAGGCTCTGTTCAGAAGAGGACAGGCGCATCTCGGACTCGCCTCGCCCGAAATAGCTATTAAAGATTTCCAGGAGGTTCTAAAAGTGCAGCCGAAAAACGCGGCCGCGTCTAAACAAATCATAATCTGTAATAACTTTATTAAGAAGCAGTTAGCTAAAGAGAAGAAACTTTACGCGAACATGTTTGATAAGTTTGCGCAGGAAGATAAACAGGTTTGTGAAGAACAATAATGATGCCATATTGCTTTTTAATCGACAATTTTTGTTCATGTATTCGAGTTTTGTATCTATTGATGCTGGTTGGTGGTGTTTATGATGTTTATTATAAATACTTAGTTATTTATATAAAAACCTAAACAATTATCTCCGTAATATTTTAATATATATATATATAGTTGGGAATCGATTTTATCGTTCAAAATACTTTAAACAGCATGTCTGTAGAACAAAAAAAAAGTGCATTTGTTATGAGTACTATGAACGACGCAAAGGCTGATTAACTTAAGTCAAATAAATCGTGAAAAATTAAATTTTGTCATTGTGTGTTTTTGCGTTTGACCATAAATCGTCAGTAATAATGTAATCACAGAAGGAGGAGGAAAAGCTAAAGGATCAACCAGACGTGATGCACGGGACTCTGGGAGAATGGGGACAGGAGGAGAGACCCGGAGGTAGAGACGCGACCGCCTTTGAAAAGGAAAATCCTAACATACTCATGCTCAACGCTAACGGTTCCGGTGAATTCAAAAACATGTAAACAATATGTCTATTATTTATTCTTTTTTTCACACTGCCGCGTGTAAACTGCCAGTAAACGGAAAAAAAAATATCTCGGTCACTTCTTGGTTGTGGTGCTTTTTTTTAATATCACCGTATTCCGTCTTTTATGAAAAATTGAAAACTGCACGTCACACATATATTAAAATAATTATAATATATAATGTGTCATCAACACATACATTGAAACTTCGCGCGTATGCATTGGAGAATCGTTTTAAATTTTTTAATTATATCCAACATTGCGATTGTTTTTTGCAACGTTATTAGAAGAAAATCATGATTTTAAGGCGCATAAACATGTTTTTTATGTCTAACTTGGCAACTCTGTCGGAAAATTTCTTTGCAAGAAATATTTGATGTATCGTTTTTATATTCAAAAACTATTTCATTTCATCACGCAGTGTTTAAAATTTAATTTAGTACGTTAATCATCATCATGTATCATACACTATTAATATATATAAGGACAAGTATATTTAGAAACACAAATTAGTATAATTTTTAGTTTGTTAAACATTATCATAAAAATGTGAATTAAATAAAGCAAACTAGAAAGAAAAAATAGAAAAAAGATAAACAATTGTACACGCATATGTGAAAATAGTCTATGATTAATGTAATTTTTCTAGCATGTTTTCATATGTTCAACACTTGCATTAACACATGCATTATGTACGATATTTTTAAATTAAGAAAATAACAGAGAATTAAGATGTAAAAAAAGATTCCGATAAGAATTTCATGTTTTATTTCTCATCATATCATGTGACAGTTTCTAATTTCCTCTTGCCTCTCTCTGTTCAAAAATAAACACGGAACTTTTGTTTCTTTTAAATTATTTCTTTTACGGCTTTATCTTACTGTAATTATTTTTGCAATTAAAGATAAACTCGTGTTTCAAGGATGCACGTTAATCTTTAATATGTATGTGACGTTACACTTTTTGATACTACTCACATTATGAGAAATATTCTGGGAATAAAGTTTCGTGTTCCAGTTTTTGAATTTATTATCGATGATAAGAAATTTATACGTAATTAGCTGCTGATTTTTTGTAATAAATACTTAACAATTAGAAATCCAACTATTTTTATGCTAATTTACTCGAAGACCTGATAATTGTCTTAACTAATGTTATAAGTAAGATGTGTGTTGCGCGAAGTTTATTGAAATTATTTCATAAGTTAAAACGCGCAATACAATTTATTACATTCATATTCACGTTCTCATTTTTTTTTGTAGTCAGCATAATTTAATCGTATTCAGTAAATGTAATTCAAGGATGAATTTTTTTGTCATTGCGATTTGATATCTACAGAGATATCGTTTTTGTTTTAATTATGATTACAGAGAGAGAAAGAAAAGAATTATACACGCATTTTTTTTATGATTAACCGCTGGCTGGCTCTACGTTTACTCGAAAAATGAAAAATTTTGCGCAATGCGTCGATTTGCTGGCATTTATCCAGAGTGATAAAACTCGAAAATAAAAGCGTTTTAATAATCGCGTTGCTTATTTGCGCGAGTTTGTTTAAAATTCCGTGTAATATAATATTTACAAATATATATACTTTCAACAGAAGCGCGCAATAAGAAGTTACTAAGAAACGATCTTTTTATGTACCAGGTGATGCGTGAAGATTTTTTACAGAAAAAGAACGTTCAATTAACGTATAAAGACATTGTTATATTAACAACAACGCATCTCAATTTTTGTGCTCCTCATAAAAAAAACTGTACGCGTATAACAAAACACACTTTCAAATCAATTTTCCTGGCGATAGGTAGTTCCAGCGTTTGAAGAGGACTAAATACATCATCGCCGCGAACACCTTGTACATCGATAGATCGACGTGAATAAAAGTCCCTCAGACCGCGCACCGCCCTGGTTCAATAAAGAGAAAGAGAGAAGGACGAAAATAAACTCTCTCCCCTCTCTATCTCTGTCTCTCTCTCTCTTTCTTCCTCTCTTCCCTCTCTCTTCGAACAACGTATTAGATAAGGCACGACGACGAGTGTACCAGTCAGTGGAAGGAACGTCCCGAACTCGTGGAAGTCCGCGTATGTGTCTCTGGTGCATGCGAGGTCGGAGTCGTCTGCTAGATTAAACTCGCTAAAGAGGACAAAAAATCACTCGCCGAAATGCCGAATATAATAAATGACATAAAATTGGACTTTAAGGATGTGTTGCTGCGCCCGAAACGGAGCACTTTGAGGAGCAGATCCGACGTAAGTACGCGCGAACTCTGTGTATTTATATAATTGGCATAAATTAGAATCATCCGTTGTCGGCATGATCTTACATTGCCTCTTTGTGTGATAAAAGCGAAGAAAAATGAACGGCAACGAGATTATAAATTCTTTATCACAACTATTATATAAAATTTGAGATGTGTCTGAAAATATGTCTGAAGAGAGATCAAGTAATACTTTGCTGTGTATAAATTTTACATTGAAATTTAATAGTTGATACACAGAATTAAAAAAAAAAAAAAATTAATAATTTATGTATTGCAGGTAGATCTCTTTAGAGAAATCACATTCCGTAATTCCAAACAAGCATACAGAGGAATTCCTGTAATGGCTTCTAACATGGATACAATTGGAACGTTTGAAATGGCAAGAGCCTTATCGAAGGTACAACCCTACAAATAAATATATATACATATATATAGTTTCAATATATTTATAATTTTATTCTTCATCTTATCTGCCAAGTAAGAATGTATAAATCAATTTATATTTATATATTATCATAGAGTTCATGTAAATGGAACACATAAGAGTTCCAGAGTGTTCACACTGTATACTTTTTTTTTTAGCATGGCCTTTTTACTACCATTCATAAATATTATACCGCAGATGAGTGGAAAAACTTCGCAACGTTAAATCCCGATTGCGTAAAAAACATAGCGGCCAGTTCAGGAACAGGAAATGAAGATTACGAGCGACTCTCGAGTATTCTGGAGATTGTGCCGGAACTGACGTTCATATGTCTGGATGTCGCGAACGGATACTCGCAACACTTTGTCGAATACGTGAGAAAAGTAAGGGCGCGGTATCCAAGTCATACGATAATTGTAAGTAATATCGATTGTCTCGTATAAAATAATTTGTGTCATATTGATTCGAAAACGAACGATGTTTACAACATCGGTTCAGTACACACGCAACATTATTCTCAATTTGTGCTTTGTATTTAAACATAAAGATTCATTACTGTCACTACAGGCAGGAAATGTTGTGACAGGAGAAATGGTGGAAGAACTGATACTTTCTGGAGCGGACATAATTAAAGTGGGAATCGGACCGGGTTCCGTATGCACCACGCGGATGAAAACCGGCGTGGGCTATCCTCAATTGAGCGCTGTAATTGAGTGCGCGGATGCGGCGCACGGTTTGAAAGGACATATTATTGCCGTAAATATTTAATTACATATAATAAGCGCGAACGTAAATTAAAAAAAAAGTAATTTATTTTAATTTATATCTTTGTATGAACGTTTGTATTGCAGGACGGTGGATGCACTTGCCCCGGGGATCTGGCGAAAGCTTTTGGTGCCGGTGCGGATTTTGTCATGGCCGGCGGAATGTTCGCGGGTCACGACGAGTGCGGAGGTGAAGTTATAGAAAAGAACGGGAAGAAATTTAAACTGTTTTACGGAATGGCTTCCAACACGGCCATGAAGAAGCATGCCGGCGGTGTTGCAGACTATAGGTGAGAGTTTGTAAATAACTGCATCGGCGATATACTAATCTAAAGTAAATATTCTTATTTTGCATATCACTATCTACAAATATTATTTTGTATGCGTAGATCTTCGGAAGGAAAGACTGTCGAAGTGCCTTACAGAGGTTCAGTCGAAAACACGGTGCTCGATATATTAGGCGGCTTGAGATCCGCTTGTACGTATACGGGAGCCGCGCGTTTGCGCGAATTGCCGCGACGCGCGACTTTTATACGCTGTACGCAACAATTAAATCCAATGTATGGTCCTCCTCCAGAAATGTAAAACTTTATTATTAACGTAAATGTTGTAATGTAACTTTATTGTTACGTAAGTTCAAATGCTAATTTAAATTTTTAATGCTAATATTTGTTGATCGTGTATGTATTGCTGGCAAATAATAATTTATAAATAAACAGCGCAGTACTTGCTAAACACGATTCGCCACATCATGTGATAATATCGAAGTATTACGAATTGATGCTAAGAATACGCTCAAACAATAAGATGTTATACATCCTGATGTGCACAAATAAAAAATTTCGTTATATATTAAGCGGTTTTTTTACTTATTTTAAACATGTATATTAAGAGTTTATGTATCATGGTGAAAGGATATATCTTAGTTAAGCGACGTGAATTTTATAATTACACGATATAATTACATGTTTTTTTCTTATTTTTATTACATGCATTTTTTTGTTTTTTATTACAAAATTTTAATATTTATGTATTTCACAAATTTTATATTAAGTTTCTATCTAATGCTATATTTTAAAGAAAGGTTTATTTCTAAATTATAAAATATTTTATAATTGCAGTTTTTGCTATTTGCTTCTCTTGTTTAGAGAAACTGGCAAGCTTTCTGTTGCGGCTGTCCCTGAAACATTAGCCAATGTCAATTAATAATGTGCTTACACTGCAGTACTGCTGTGACGAAAGCAATGCTGTTATAACGTAACTAAAATTATAATTTTTACGATACTCCACAGATATTAATACTAAACTCTGATATTACAATTAATTAAAGAGAAATATTTGTTATGTTGATGTGCATATATATGTTAATAAAATAATAATATACAAAACTGAAAACACAAAGTTTGCAATTGTTATTTAACTAAAATACAAAATAAAAGATAATTTTTATGTTTCTTTTATTATATTATCATACTTCTCTTTTATATTTCTGACAAATATTATTATTTTTCAAAAAACTTCACTATATAATATAAAAGAATTTACAAACAATTTATACTTTTTCGTGCATAACTATAAGATAAATAATATTATATTATATAAGCACATTTTATATAAAAAAGTATTTGAAATAAACCTTAGACGGCATTTATATAATAAATATAACATTATAGAAAATATGAAATATAAAAACAAATATAAAACTGATTTATTAATAATAAATGTATTAATTGCAAAAATAATAAATGTTATGCGTTATATAAGAGTATGGGAATAATTTAAAATAAACTGGTAATACACAGTGGCTTTCGCATTACAACAAAGATACAAGTGACAGAAATATAAAGTTTTGTTATTGATATTTCTATTATTTAACTAATATTATCTAACTTTTTCACAATATCTGTGAAGTAAAACAATATATAAAAAAATTCACTTCCGAGAGAGCTTATAGTGTGTTGTTTTCTAAGAATTGTACGTACAGGAATATGTGTGATACGTTATATCCTCAAATAATATTGCAACCAGACACTTTTTTCAATGATACATACATATATATATATATAATTTCACTTGAAAAACTAAAAATCGTTCATCCCTTAAAAATTTTGAATACAGTATGCAACAACAAAAATGATGATCATTATTTACAAATTGTTACATTTGTAACTTCTATTGTAGTAAACAAAAAAACCTTACATATTACTTCTGTTAACTTTTTGTTTTTTTTTTTCATTAACAGAATATGCATCGCATCTCTGCTTACGTGTGTGCGTACACAAGGAAATACATTGCTAGTCATGGATTACGATATATTTAGATTTTATGCCAAATTTCTTTACCTCTAGATAAGTTCTCGATAACGTTCTAACAGCCAATTTTCTAACTTCTAGATAAGTTTACTTCTCGATAACTTTATCTAGAAGATATCTCCCAAAATTGGTTCTCCTTATTGGTTCTCAGAGGAATTTATCCAGAGGGATAGCTATCGAAAGGTATGAAGAAATTGGCCGTAAAAGATAAAAGTATATCTTTTTGTATAATTTTTATCCAGAGGATAGCCATCGGGAGGTATGAAGAAATCGGGCCTTAGAGAGCAGAGAGTGAGAGAGAGAGAGAGAGAGAGAGAAATAACTTCAAGTTTTTTCTTCAAGTCAGAAATAGATTTATCCGTATACAGGATGTTTCAGAAGTGTTGCGTTTGAAAATTTAAAGAGAGACTAGAGATAAAATATCTCACTTAAGATTCTCGAGGTTAATCGCACATTTGCTGAACAACTCGGTACTCATGTGTGTAACATACCTTTGATACATCCTGCATTCATTTTCAACATAAAACACACGTGATTCTGTTGACACTTTGGATGTACAAAAAATTCGAGATATTTTACATATTTAACTACTAAAATGAAAAGCCGAAAATACTTCGCGCGATATACACATTGTACGAAAGTGCGTAACACTAAGCTAAACAATATTCAGAATATGACGTCGTTAGTAAACACAATGACATGTTATAAATGTATTCGTTATAAATGTCATCCGACTAATCTCTCCGCTTCGTAGGGTCTTGATTCCTCCGAGTGCGCGCACGTAGATTTATGCTGAATGAAACATTTTTAATTGCAGATCCCCATGCTGAGACTTATGGTAGGACGGATAAACCTGTCTCTAATTGGCTGCTTCCAATATCTAAAAATATCATTTGGTATTTCACGAGAGAGAGCAAACAAACCCAAATGTAAAATTCTTATTTAACAGTGCAATAACAGGACATATGCATGTGTAAGTGGCGTATTATCATGTTTTTCATATATAGTAGTTAATTTAATATATATACACATATACACATGTTTTTTAAAATAAAATGTTCACATATATAGGCGATGGAGAGACGTGACAGCTGTTATATCACTTACAGCATATTTTGTATAATATAAGCCAAACATTTTTATACTTATAATAAGAAACGAGTATTTCGAGAATAAATGAGTACCTTGTCGTAACGTAAAACAATGTAGTATACTATAGAAATGTATCAGTGTTGCTCATAACAACGGTTTTGTTTTAGGATATATATATATATAATATATAATTTAACAAGCTCAATGAGAAAGAGAGAGAAAGAGAAAGAATGCGAGAAAAGTGAGCACGGATGTCGATCCCTCGTTCCTCTTTCTGACCTGCTGCTTCTGACCTGCCAGCTTATATTACAACAATACATGTTATATGGAACAGAAAATACAATGGTACATAAAATGGAACATAGGCGTCATATTTGATATTATATATATTATAATAGTAATTATTTCAACAAACAAAAACTCGATTTGTAATACTTTTTTGTTGTTACTTAAACAATCGTATCCTATTATTATATGTCATAATATCTATACGTATAGCATATATGTAAAAAAAAACACATCATAAATGTATAGTATAAACAGAATTCGCGTAATCGAATCTCGTGACACATTCTTAAAGATGTATGAAGATTATGAAGCAGTCAACTATTTTTTTTTTTTTTTTTTTTATGATAAAAGTTATATGGAGAGATAGGTATAATCGCACACACACATCCTGATGGAAAGTTATCTGAAAACTATCTGAAATAAACAAATAATTTGCGGTAAAAGACATGATTCATGTACACAAGAAACAATGATATTATTTCAAAGGTGTAGAATGTGCCGTTATTTATATATAAATTGTCACATAAAATAATTGCACAATGTTATCGTAAATTTTATATTTTTTTCAAATTTTTGTTCGAATTCCCTGTAAGGTTCGATGAGTATAGGTATTTCTTTTGTAACACTTCTTTATTCTTACACCATTGATTTATACACAGAGTAATATCAAGCCAATATAAAACATTGAGTATTAAAAATATTGTGTAAACAGAAATAAATCAGACACACACACACACGCGCGCGCGCGCACGCACGCACACACAAAGAATAAATTATTAAATAATTAAAATCATGTTTTATAATTCGTGTTTATGTGTGATAAGAAGAAAAAGAAGACAGGAGAAAGTTAAAGAAAAGGTGAAAAGTAAAATTCTTACTTACGGTATGTAAAATGTACTCAAATTCATATTGGCTTGATAAGCAAACAAATAAGCAAGAAAAAACCGTATGAATACATATCACAAGGAACAATATTTCGCATACAGTCCATAAAAAAAATAAAAAAAAATTAAATTTATTGCAACGTAATTAGTACGTAACCTCGTAATGTCAAAATTTATTTCATACGATTTTTTTCAAAAATATTCAAGTATATATATTATATTCAAGTTTACTTACTCTCTCAAATGTGGAAGCTTAATTCTCAGAAGTTGGTTGTGAATAAGGATAATTCTGATAGCCTGACGGGAAAGAAGGATTTTGCTGTCCCGCCTGTGGTTGAGAGTTGGACGCAGCATTCGCCGCGTAATAACCAGCAGGCGCTGAGCCAGCGTTCATCGCCGGATAACTTCCGTAAGCTTGTGGAAACGTATTGGAAGTTGTACCTGGTGGCCCAGCAGACTGTCCTTGAATGCTCTGCATCTGCTGCTGAGCCATTTGATTTCCTTGCATTCCCAGCTATACGATATTAGTTTAGTATAGCAAAGTACGTCACAAATCTATAAACCAAACTACTAGTGAGCACATTTTAAAGAAAATACCTTGCCCGCTTTCATTTGAGCTTCTATCGCTTCAGCTTCCTTTATTTTACCGATACTTCTATAATATTCTGCCCACTGAACGCTGTAATCGGCCTGGCCTCCGTTTTGCGCAGCTCCTGCTTGCTGTTGCTGCTGCTGCTGCTGCTGCTGCTGCGACTGCTGTTGCTGTTGCTGATTCGGTCCAGCGGAACTTGTTGTCGGTGTATTGGACTGATTTTGCGAATTACCTGAAATAGTTCCATTTGATAACAATGTTGCAAGATTTTCACATCAACAAACATTTCTCTGTTGTAAAACAGAAATACAAAAATTCTTACCTCCTTGTTGATTTTCTTGTTTTCCTTGTTTCGCTTGCTGTTCGATCATCTCCGCTTCTCTGTGCATACCTAGAGATCGATAATATTCCGCCCATTGAGCACTGTAATCCGGCTGACCAGTCTGCGGATTGACTTGTACAGGAGCTTGACTAGCATTGCCTGCAACAGCAAAATTATCGTGAGAGAAACAACGAAACTTATTCTTCACCTTTTCCTTATATGTAAAAAAAACAAAGATCATAAAAATTATAAACCCATACCATACATACTTCCGTCAGTAGATTGCGGTTGAGTCGGCCACGCTTGATATCCTGTATTCCAATTTGGATTGTATCCAACTGGTCCTTGTGCTCCGGCATATGGAGAAGCACCTGGACCCTTTAAAAATTAAAAAAAAATATGTATGTAAGATTGTATATTTAATGCGTATATAAATCTAATTTATTACCCACTATTTCATAAAAAATTATTATTACATTAAACATACCATGCCTAGTTTTTCACTAAATATTCTCTTTGCGTGTTCGACTTGTTCAGGATTTCCTCGAATAATGAAGATTTTCTCGTTTTCATTACTTTGGTTTCTTCTATCTAACTCACAATGTGCTCCAGTCTGTTGATTGATCTGTTTAATAGTTTCACCACCTGGAAATAAAAATTTGAATGTTTCCTAACTAATAATATCAAGATACAAATTACATATGTAATGAAAAAATATACATATGTATTAAATGATATAAAACCTTTGCCAATTATAATCCCGCATTTAGAAGACGGGACAGTAAACGTGGTTTCAATTTTATCTTGCATAGGACCACCTTGTCGTCTATCCCAAGTTCCGTATTCATTTGGATTACGATTGTTACCAAAACCGTTACCTCTTATACCACCTCGATTTCCCATGTTATTTCTGCCGTCATCTCTTCTCTAAACATTAAGAAATTACATGAAATTAAGAAAACACTTTTCAAAAAGCTTCTAATCAACTTGACTACAAAATCATAACGCTACCATAACGCTATCAATTAGTTCCTGAATTCGCTGACGAGCCTGTTCAACAGCTTGATGCTTTCCTGACAGTAAACATTTCCTATCGCCAGGACCATCTTCTCTACCTTGCTGAAATTGAACTTTGGCTCCACTTTCTGCTTGTATTTTCTTAATCATATCTCCACCTTTACCAATAACAACACCAACAGCAGCTCTTGGAACAAGTACCTGTATTAAATGTGCGAAGTCCAAAAATAAAGAAAATATATATGGAGAAAATACAAATTAGTTACACAGTTAAATGTGTTACTTCAGTTAAATATTATTCATTATTGTGTGCGATGCAACAAGTTGATGAAAATCATATATATGTTTATCAAGATTATTAACCTCCACTCCGTCACTATTTGTAGAACCGTGATTGAAGCCACTGTCGTTAGAATAATTGCCTGTTCTCTCAGTACCTCCTCTTCCTCCTCTATGAAACATTTGCATTTCCTTTTCAGCTATTAGTTCATAGACCAACTGCTTTGCATACTCCACTTTTTGTGGATCTCCTGTTATTCTACAAATAACAAAAGAGACATCTCTAAATATTTATGCAATATTGTTTTCATAGACAACAATGGAAAATATAAATTGTTGTCACGTAAAAAAGAAAAAATTGTTATCTCACCTTAAGGGTTTTTCCTGTTCTTGAGAGGGTCCGTCTTGAATAACGACCATTTTAGCGCCAGACTTCTCTTGAAGTTGTTTTATAGTTTCCCCACCTTTGCCAATAATCAGACCAACTTTAGGACCTGGAATCATTATCTCAACAAATCCCGGATGTCCCATCATTCCGCTGCTGTTGCCGCTCATATTCATATCGCCAATTCCCTCACTTCTGCTTCTCTGATTTACTATTGACAATACAAGCTCCTTAGCCCGACTGAAACATACAGAGCAAAAATGCGTAATATTTTTTTCAAACTATTTTTCACAAGTTTCAAAAAACTTTAATCAATGCACAATAATAGAATTTGTTTGCAACACATAAATATGCTATCATCATATAATATGTAATTATCTATCTTGGACCAAACTGTTGTCGTATTTGGAACATTTTTCTTTTGCAATTATCGATAAACCTTATTAAATATAGCGTAACAAAGAGATTTCAAGGTTTTATATCAAAATGCTAGAGGTTTAATCATAAACAGTTTCACACAAATAAATAAATAAAATTTTCTTCGTGTCACAATTAATATAAATGCATATCCTATCCTCCTTCCTTCCTTTTTCTCTTTCTCTCTCTTTTTCTTCATTCCCTATTAAAAGCAAAAGAAAACTATTAGTAAATATAAAATTATCAAATCAAAAGTGAACAAATTGATCAAATCATTTGATCAATTTTCAATGGTGAGAAATTCAGAAGCGTATTGAAAGTCAAGTTTGTGCCCGCTTTCGCATTTGTGCATCCTGGAGCTAAATAAAGATTCTGCAAAACATTTCATAATATGCAAAAAGAGCATATATGTCCTATATTAAATTACAAAGAGAGCATAATAATACAAAATTGCGACACATATAAGACACATTGAAATATAAGTTATGTTGTCAGAAATTGAAATTGTCATTTCAATTCATAAACTTTCTAGTGTGTGTGTAAACAGAATAATAAAAAACATGGTAATATTCAAATAGTATCACATCGCAGTTTGAGACGAAATAATTGTTTGATTGCTTCGAAGGAATTGTAGGGAAACAATTTGCACTTAAACACAACTTAGAATAAAATATCCTTGTGTAAATTTAAAGGAGGATAGCAGATTTGCTTGACTGAATTATATGAAACAATTTTAGCTGGTATTTTTCACAACTTGGTCTATAAATAGAGAACTTAATCTGACAACCATATTTCACTCTTCGGTAACAAAGTAGAAATACATTCAAGATTATATATGTATATATATATATATGCTACATGAAAGCAAATCCTTATCATTTGTCATGTGTTATATATAAAAGTCATAATATTGCATTGCATACAAAATATCACAATTTAATAAAAATAAGAAGGGAAAACAAAGTTACTTGACAGCTTCTCGTGAACCAGTTAGCGTGCAAACACGCTCAGGCAGTCCACCACTTTCCGGTGCCATTTGTATTTTACATCCTGTTTCACTCTGCAGTCTTGTTATTTGTTCTCCACCTCTGCCAATTACTGTAAATACATCATTATTCAAAACTAATTATAAGTATTTGAGAAAAAAGTATTTAAAAATTTACTTTTATTACATCTTAGCTACTAGACTCTGAAAAACAACAAAAATTATGTCATCAACATACTTTTTGTTGTGTCAGTTGCATGTGTGTACATAGATACAATACAGTATGTTCTTTTAAATTGTTAGCAGAAGTTATAACAAATTACAGAAGTTATATGCAAATTTACTATTTCATATAAGGCATTTATGTGGGAGTATAACATGCACACACTTCTATTGGTTTACTTACTTAAACCAACCATCTTGTCGGGAACTCTGATATCCTCATTGCATATACCACCTAAATTGGAAGATACTTGTGGTCTAGCTCCTTGATTACCTGATTCTCCAATAGAACCACTTCCAGGTCCTCCACGAATACTTAATAAAGGGTCTACCGTTAAGGATGCCATCTTCTTTGCTTCGGGTTCTGAAAGTTTTTGTTTTTTTTTATAAATAAACATACATATATAATGTATATAACATATAGTATCAAGTGTCTATGTACATATACTTGCCTGAACTATCTTCGAGAGGACGTTTTAGTTTGGAGTCTTGATTATTTTGATTTGCAACACCTGAATTGATTTTTGCGGCAATCTAAAAAAGATCAAAGTCACACAAATAAACAAAATCTACACAAATACACAAACTTCAGAAAAAATGATTACTCTCAAACAGCAATGGATACATCTAGAGTAATAAAAAAAGAGAAAACAAGAGAAAGAGAGAGAGAGACAGAGAGACAGAGAAAGAAAGAAATATATAAGTAGAACAAGATAAATAAAATAGATGAAATAATATCCTGAAATAAAGTAGACAAAAAAAAAAAACAAAACAAAACAAATCATGAAAACTAGCTGAAACTTTACGCGCTACGAATGTGTAGTTTTTTTGCGATAAGAAAGCTGGGGGGACACACATCTTGGCTGGTATAGGTTCGGAAGAAGCAGCATTTTTGCTAACGTAGGCGTCTGACTCGACGAATTATTTTAGCGGCGTGTTGCTCTTTGAATCAAGTACCTGTTTGGCACGTTGCAGTGCCGCTGCTAATGCTGTGCTCTGAGTGAAGTTTTGTGGCGGAGCAACTGCTGAATAGTCACTCATATTGAAGCATGAAAATGTCAAACGAGAGACTAATTATGTCTTGGATTCTTCGAAACCGATGTTCACCCGGTTGCAACCCGATAATCTCCAGCTCGTCGCACGGAAGCTAAGCACGTAAGCGCGAAAAAAGGAAGATCTACAAAAAAGAGATTTAACACCGCTCCGCACTCCGGTGTCAATATGCCCGCTAACGATATTCGTGATCACTCGCAATAATTCGTTTGAAAAGAAAGGGGGGAAGGAGAGAAGGTTTTATATGAGATTTTTATGTACAAGTGAAAGAACTTTCACAGAACACCCGCACAGCGCAAGCGTCGGTCGGAGAATGCACGATTAATTTAGTGCGGAAGTCAGTCGAGACTTGCGTCTATGTGGTAACTTTGCTCGAGATCTTGAACCGAGCAAAAGTCACTAAAACTTGAACCAATCGTGGCGGACGATTAGCCAAATTGATCGAAGCGAATTGATATCGAGTCGTTTGATTATTGGTGCTTTTGTTGGTCGCTAATTGGGAAGCGCTCACACCGTGTGTGTGGAAAGCAATCATATATAAGATTGTCATATTTTCGTGGCGTAACCAGAGAGAAGACCAGAGAAGACTTGAATAGCTAGAGTCATATGAAAAACTGTAAGAGCAGAGAGAGGAATGAGAGCAGCCATAAAAGACCATAAAAGTTTTTACGATCGCTTTTCGTGGACATGATTTTATTCCGTGCTGATGGGATCACCGACGATCACAATTCAATTATAAAACGATAGTACGTATTTCTTATCTTTCAACTTTTACGGCAGTGGCCTAAGTTAGCGATTAGAACAATTATGAACCAACCTTCTAAGGCCTGGCCTCTCTCAGTCTTCTCTCTGGCGTAATAGAGATTAACACCGCCTCCATCGTCAAAGTGGCAGAAAAGTGAAACAAAGGTAAAGATAGGAATAGAAGCAAGTAAAAAGAGAGAAACTGGCGGCTTTCTCATTTTTTTTGCTTAAAAAGATAAGTCTTATATGTCAATAACTATACAATATACACGTACATATTGCTGATATATTTTTGCACTAAAGTAGTAAACTTTCTTTTTTTTTGTATTTTATTGACACTCTGTGACAAACTTTTTATTTACAAAAATGATAAAATTACAGAATGTATATAAAACAAAAATTACATAGTAAAAGAGCAGATTTGATCGTATAAAAAATAACAGAAATCAGGAATGTGTATAGTTGTTAAGTTAAATGACATTTGTACAAGAGATATGTAAAGAGATATGAAATCATTTTCCTATTGTACTTATCTCACGCGTATACATCAAAAGTTGAACATGTGTGTAGATTTCTATTAAAAATTATAAATTTTTATAATTTAATTATAATTATAAATAAATAATAATTATAATTAATTATAAATATTGTACAAACAACAGTCGCATAAACATATTTTAAAAAATTATTATAAATAAATGCGGTGTGTATATATATATATATATATATATATATATACATACATATATATGCCCTGCAACTTTTGTTATTATCTAAAGTGTGAAGTTAATTGATTAGATTAAAATACTTTCTAACCCGTATACTGAGAAGTTTGTAGACTCATTAAGTATTAAGTACATTGCAAAAGAGGATTATTATATTAAGCTACGTCTATCTCTTTGTATTGTATATTCTATCCATCAAACCCCATGTTATGTTACCGGGTATTCTCTGATGTTGTTCTATTAAATCTCTAAGTGAATCAGCAACCTGCAAAGGTCAATAATATTTTTGAGCCACTGTATTATTAGAAAACAATATATATGCGCAATATACTTTACATTATTATATTTATTCACCTTTTGTTGCAACTCTTCCGGTGTGAGAGTCCCGTCATATGGAATAGGTTCACCCACATATGTAACCAATTTTACCGGAAAGCCACCGTAGATAGGTGCAAAGGGAAATTTTGTCTTGGCATACATCCTCAGCCACAGCCTTCTTCCCCAGCTTACGGTTCTAAATGCTTCTCTGATATTTTTAGTAAATAAAGGAACTATGCTCTAATAAGAAAGCAAGTATATAGTAAGCAATAATAAACGCCGAGAGGGAAATCAGGAGAGATAAAAAAAATTTCATCGGAACGTACCACTTTGGCGTCCAGAGCAACTTTCGCAAATCCCATTCTTTTCTGCCACATGAGTTTGTAGTACGAGTCCCCGAATTGAGCCTCGTAAACTCCGCCCGGGGAAATAGCAAGCATGTTTCCCTCTTTTAAAATAGCGGAACATGTTTGAACTGTGCCAGGTATTACTTTCAAAACATCCGAGATGATGGACCATCCAGGTAACTTAAAGAGAAATCGATCGGCTACGGTATGGATTAGCTTCGAATTGAACAGGAATACTTTGGATATGAAGTAGTATAAGTCAATTGGAATAGCACCGTGATAATATATAAATAAAACTGGCTTGTCCTGTGGAATATTTTCCAAACCCACAACCTCATATCCTGTTCAAAATATGCGAGAAGAGAATTCCGTTAAACCTTTACAAACTGGCAATATATATATATTGTTACATTTGGTGTAACAGCATTTAGTATTGTTTATTTAAATTTTTAGCTTACCATGCCAAATCCAACCGTGTGCATCCCAGATAGCTGCAACTGCGTAACGTGCTGCATTTTGCCAGGGAGTGCCATAAGCGTTTCTTAATCTGACTCTGGAGAAGACACATTGCAATATTTTAATATTTAACAAAATCATACGTATAAGTTTATTAAAAAACAAAAATTTATTATGTATATTAAAATTCTCTTTTTCGCTATTTGTATTAAAATTTATAGATTTGTACAAAAAAAGCTAATATATTTTAAAAATTTATTACAGCATCAGCAAATATCAGTTACGTTACGTAAACAGACCTCCCAAGCGATACATCACTTTGAAATTTTTTCAAACCTGTGTAGCTTGTAGACATATAATATTAGGGAAGTTGAGTACAACAGCAACGCGATTACAAGCGGTAGCAGAAATGTTATTAGAAGTGGCATTAAGAGCCATGTCAGCCACAATGTAAAATCCAGATCAATGTATTCAACTGAAAAACACAGAATAAATTCATTTAAAATTCAAATCAATTATTTGTGAATCTTACAAATATGTACTGAGAGAGTTTATTAACTGAAAAACTAGCTTCGTTATAAAAAAATTTATGCGTGAATGAATATTGCATGTGAACATGCTTGTGGTAGTTCTTGTTGTTACGAGAATAAGTGTTAAAACACAATATTGCAATACATATATATGTATATATATATATATATATATAAATTATATCAATGAACTGCTGTGTGTTTTACCTATAACATCTTCTATCATTGGCCATATGTTGGATATAATGGAAAACATGTTTATAGATTTAATATTAAAAAGAGATACATATACAAAGAGATCAAAAAATTTAGCTCAGAAAAACGATCAAGATTGTGATTCTGTAGAAAGCACCTTCATATTCATGTGATTTCCACTGTGAATTCCGATTGTCACTACTATATTATTCATGCGTGCTCCAGCATTATACGCGCTTGTGTGTGTGTATGTGTATATATGTGCATTTAAATACCGGATCATTAATTATAAGCCGTTGCATATTAATCGTATCAAACATGTCGCAACAACAAATGCCATGAATATTCGACAAATTCTCTTCAACGCGCAAAGAATTCGCGAATACAATTAAAACGCGACATTGTAAATTGCGTTTGGAAGAAAAATATCTATATCTCTCGACTATACAAAACCGCACTGCTCCGACGAACTGTCAAAACCGCTGCTCATTGTTCGGCGTCAACGTTTCGAGACGACAGAGATCGAAGTGCGCGATCGCAATAAGGATACGGAACAATAAGGTAAATGGAAGGAGTAATCAGCTGATACGTTGAATACCAGAAGTATATAAACGTACTTGTATTTGGGGTACCCCCAATATACATGTACAATGACGTTTTCTGTAATTTTTTAAACGTACACCAAGCGTCAGTAGTGTCGTTTCATTTCCGGTTCGGGCATTTTTTTTCGGGGGAACGAACGGGCACGAGGAATAATAATTTTTCGTAATCGTTAAATATATATGTTTGCAAACGACACACCTATACGCCGCGTTTAACAAACGGCATGTTCGAACGAGATAAAAAAGGGAAGTAAAAAAATTTTCGTATTATGTAAAGCGGTCTGTACGCGGAACGTGAATATATACAATCGAAGTCCCGTGTGTCCGGGGTTTTTTCGTCGATATAGAAATATCTATATCTCTACACGTGCATCCGAAGACGCGAGCAATGGAAGACGTTAATGGCGCTGAATGTACAACGGTCGAGAGACGAAAGGGTCGATTCTCATTGGTCGAGCAGGCGCTGGTTCCAGGTTGTCGACCAATGCGCGGCGGGACTTCACCGGACTCGGCCTCTCACACGCACACGCATCTCGCGCGAGTTGCGTTACGTAGAGCCGAAGTATTGGTGGGGTTTGCTTGGGTCCGATACAGATGATACGCGATCGGAAAGGAGGTTTTGCATTCGATTCGTATCGTATCGTCCGGGGTCAGTCGGGGTTTTTTAAATGCCGTTTAAAGTGCACGCACGTAATATAACGTTGGTTATGTGAGACTCGCTCGACGCGAAGTGGAAGCAAATTCGATCGTGAGCAAATAATAATTCCCGTCGACATTCTTTGCCCCAGGTTTTACGCTCATATACGTGTGTATATATGTGTTTCGCTGCTGAACCACGAAGGGACGGAAATCTCTCTGTCGCACGATCGCGAATGCAGTTGTCCGCTATTCGACGTCGTATTATGATCAATTTTCGTGTTTTGATCGCGCATTAGCACCAGCAATTGGCCAAATGAAGGTAAGGCGCAATTTGTTTTGCGGAGATGAAAGCGTGGAATATAACATCGCTCTCCTAGAACGCACGGACAAAGGTTAAAACTAAGCGTGAACCTTGTGCGAGAGCTACTACCGATCTCGCATGACGTCTTGTTTGTTGTTGTGGCACAAGTTCGAGTTTTGATTCTCGTCTCGATTTTTTTGACACGTATTTCGAACAATTGTAATCGCAAAGTAATCGCAAAGCCAATCCTAATTTTTTTTTTGTCCGACAATTTTGCGACAACTCGCACTCAACTTTTGCAATTGCTCGAGAATTTTTTGTGGAATTTATTTCAATGAGAGAGAAAACGTGTTCTTGGAATGTCAATAATTCTCTCACCGCTGCGAGACTGAGCTTTGTAAATTTTTACAACTTATCGAGTTACTTAACGAGCAACGAGTCTGAAAGATCAGCGATTCAAGAAAGTTGTAAAATTGATAAATGAGACTGACGTGATGGATGACATGTTTTTATTCATCGTTGCCTCTCGTTTATGTATTCCCTTTTGATTGTATAACAGAGATTACTTGTTTGTAACGATGGTTGTCTGTTGTGATAATTGAAAGTTGTTTTTTTTTTTTTTGTATTAGAGAAAGTGTCTCTGTCATCTTGACAAAATAACAAAAACAAAACTATATGTATGTACATATGCACATACATATCATTTTTCTAAAAACACAATGACACAAAATATACAGCATTTGATTATTATTTTATAGATAATGTCAGATGATGACGCTGCATTGGACTCAATGGATACTGAAGAAGAAATTTTTAATCGAACCTTGGAGACAAATGTCAGGCGATCTAAGAGCTTACGCAAGCTAAGATCGCATTCCGGATCTAACTCGCATATAACTAGAAACAATTTGAGTGTACGTCGCAGTACACGTAATAGAATGCAAACTTATGACAACCTCAATACTAGCTGGATATTAGGTAAAATAAATCGGTTTTTTTTTTTTTTTTTTTAAATAAAGCAACGAAGACATATACATCCACACACACACACACATAGACACTTTCATATCACATGTATTTTAATTTTGTTGTCGATACAGTATTTTCTGTGAAAGTTTATAAAAATTTATCAAATTTTTATCAGGAACACAAACGTTAAAAGGATATCCTATGTTTCAACATGCCTCTTCTTCGGATAAAGAAATAGACGATGTCTCCGGAAGAAAGCGCGATCTGCGAGAACGCATGCCTTTGAGATCTCGTGAAAATCATCCACCCACCAAACCTCCGACCAGACATCTTCGTGATAAAACGGAACATGATCGTCAAAATAGTAGAGAGCTCAGAGGTAGAGGACCCGAGCGCGATCTTAAAGAAAGAACAGAATCGAGCAAGGACGTCAGTGAACAAACAAAACCAACAAACGATGAGAAAGATACCAGGTAGTTTTAATATAAAACTTTGTGTATTTAATAAGTACTTAATGAAAAAAAACCGCAATTGTAATGTGTTGTCTGTAATATTGCCCTAGAAGAAAGTCCGATAGCCCGAGCAGATTTAGAGAAGGTCCTGTAACGAGACTGTGCGGAAATATTGTTGAGAAAACCGAAAAGCCCAAAGTACAGCAGGATGAAGCTGATGACGATAGTTCCCGGGAGAGCGAAAAGCCGGAGAATAACGATAATTCTGAAAACGAGGATGTGAGCAAACTTGTGCATTTTATATATTTTCGGCTCTTCTTTTTTGTGAATAATAATTTTTATAAAATTTACGTGTATTTTTTCGTTCGTATTTTAGGGATACGAGGATATGTATACGCGCATCAAGAGAACAAGACGCAGAACGCAACGTCAAATGCCAAGAGGTAAGAGAAACATTTTGGATTTACCGGTATTACGTAACTAATGTAATTAGACTTTTTTTTTTTTTTTGTAAAAACATTTAACATATCGCTTCGTTTGTGTCTGCAGTGGTGGTTAGCGATATGAGCGAATCGTCAGATTCACCTGGGCCTAGGAAGTACAGTTTACGTCAGAACAAGCCTACCGTAGATAGATTTCAGGCTAACGTAGAACCAGTTAGGCCATCTATTAGAGCCCTTAGAAGTGTTCTCAGCAATTCGATGAGGAGAAGGAAGCATAGAAACAAGAGTCCGAGTTCAAGTGACTCTAGTGACTCCGAGCCTCAGCGATACGACAAAAAGAAAGGCAAAAAAGCTAGGTAAGTTTATATAAATACGTTAAACATAAAAACTTTAATCAGGTCGGAGTTTCGTTCGCTTATGTATAAATAACGATAATTAATGTAATTTGCAGACAATCGGCGATACCGCAGGGCGGTCCACCGGATAAGAAAGCCGACATAAACCCTATCACTTTAGACACTAATATTAGATTTAGCGATGTCGGCGGTTTAGAATCTCACATTCACTGCCTTAAAGAGATGGTCGTCTTTCCCATGTTGTATCCAGACATTTTCGAGAGATATCACATTACCCCACCAAAAGGTGTTTTGTTTCACGGCCCGCCAGGTATCACAAAAGTCTCAGATCTAGCAAAAATAAACGTCAGTTTTCTAATGTAATGCGTACATGTTACGTAAATAAAAAAAACTTACTTAGGGACCGGCAAGACACTGATAGCAAGAGCGCTAGCCACCGAGTGTAGTCAAGGTAACAAGAAGATGTCGTTTTTCATGAGAAAGGGAGCGGATTGTTTGTCCAAGTGGGTCGGCGAGTCCGAACGCCAACTGAGATTGTTATTTGAGCAAGCTCAACAAATGAAACCGTCCATAATATTTTTCGACGAGATCGATGGTTTGGCACCAGTAAGAAGTACCAAGCAAGATCAGATCCACGCTAGTATTGTGTCCACGCTTCTAGCACTCATGGACGGTCTCAGTGATAGAGGAGAGGTAATAATAAATAAAAGTGACAAAAACAGATGTTTATCAAATCAGCCGCAGTATATTCGTTTGATATATAACGTTTGTTTTCGCTCTCTAAAAGGTTATAGTTATCGGCGCAACGAATAGAATCGATGCGATTGATCCGGCGCTTCGAAGACCCGGTCGTTTCGATCGCGAACTTTTTTTCCCACTACCTGCGATGAAAGAGAGATTGGAAATACTGAAGATACATGTCAGCAAATGGAAGAATCCGCCGCCCGATCAGTTGTTGGAGATATTAGCCGAAAAAGCAACCGGTTATTGCGGTTCGGACTTGAGAGCTTTGTGCACCGAAGCGGTGCTGCAAGGATTAAGAAGAACTTATCCGCAAATTTACATGACGAACGACAGATTATTACTGGATCCGGAGAAAGTTGAAGTAAGTTGTAATAAAAACAATTATAAGACATAAGTAAAAATAATAATCGTAAGTAAATAAGTCCGTTTTGTTTTTCAAAAATAATTATGAAAGAAATATCAAATTGTTTTACTAATTGACAGGTCAAAAGATGTGATTTTATACAAGCGAGTTATATACTCATCCCGTCATCGCACAGAGTAGCTCCGTGTGCGGGAAGAAAGTTGCAGCTGTTTATGGAACCGCTGTTAGGACCACCATTGGAAGAATTGACCAACTTAATCAAGGGAATATTTCCTCATGGCGTAAATCCCGCTATGGCAAAGTACTTATTTTTTATAATTATACAAGTTAATTATAAATGTAATAAAAAAAAAGATGTGTTGTGTCTTTTAGAGTTATTATTTGTACATTGTCTTTTTTTACGACTTTTTTTTTTGTAGAGTGAGGACTGCTAAGGGTGTCCATCGCCCAAGATTATTGATCTCTGGCGGCAACTTATCCGAAGGTCAAGGATCTAATTTAGCTCAAGCGTTATTATATTCCATGGAACACCTACCGGTCCAAATGCTAGATGTCAGCACGTTGTTCGCAGAGAGCGCACGATCACCTGAAGAAACTTGCGTACAGGTGATATAAGAATTTAACTTTCTAAGAATTTAAGTATTTTTATCTAAAGTGTGAAAATGAGACGACATGAAAATAATTGAAAATGTTATAAGTAAAAGGTATAATTTTATTTAATTTTTTCAAAATTTTATATTAAAAAGGAAGTCTTTTAGCTAATTCCAACTGGTTATTGTTGAATATTTTGCAGGTATTTAACGAAGCTGCTAGGAATGTACCGTCCATAATTTACATTCGCTCGATCAACCAATGGTGGCCTCTTGTCCCGGAAACAGTAAAAGCCGTTTTCTTGTGTCGCATCGCGGCTTTAGACTCTTCTTTGCCAATTTTAATTCTCGCGACGAGCGATTCGAAGTATCAGGATCTTCCCGATCAGTTGAGAAATTTGTTCAGTGAATTGCGCGGAGAAGTGTATTCCATGAAAACTCCCACCACCGAGCAAAGAACAAAATTCTTCCGGCCAATTTTCACAGTTCAGAGTTTGAAGCAGCCGCAGATCAAGAGCAACAAAGTGGAGATATTGGAAACACTGCCATTAGCGCCGGACCCGTTGCCAAAGAAGTTGACGGAAGAGGAGAAACAAATTATGTACGAGAAGGACGAGGTGTCTTTGAGGGAATTACGAATCTTCTTGAGAGAGATCTGCGCCAAACTGGCGAGAAATCGACAGTGAGTGATTTTTTAAATTTTATGCTCAGATCGTTTGTATCTTTGTGCGTTGAGCAAACGGACTGGAAATATTTGGCGTGATGTTTTTTTTTTTTTTCAGATTTTTCATGTTCACGAAGCCGGTTGACACGGAAGAGGTGCCGGATTACAATTTGATCATAAAGCAACCAATGGATCTGGAGACGATGATGACCAAGATCGACATGAACTGTTATCTGTGCGCTCGTGAATTTCTCGACGACATTGATCTCATTTGCAGAAACGCTTTGGAATACAATCCGGACAGGTTGGTAATTCAAATCGCAAAATAAGTAATTTTACTTAAAAAAACGAATTGTTGATAATATGGTTCGAAAAGAAAACGTTTATATATACAAATCTCGCGTGAAAGAATCAACATCTTACACAGAAGCGGTTATCGATATTATGTACATACTTTAAGGTTCTTTAGAGTAATGATATTTGTCTTCTTACACTGACATTCATATTGTGTGTTTTCATGTCAGCTTACGTGATAGGCCTTCCCTCGGAATATTAAAGAGGTAGTTGAGCTTTTTGCTGTTTATCCGTATAATGCTGTTATCTCGCTCTGTAGACAACTTAGTGGTTTTCAATTTAGAGCGCACCATAATCGTTGATGTTTTTTAACTAATGTTTTTTTTCACCATGCATCGAAGACCACTTCCCATTTTAGTTTCATCATGTGCTTTTTATTTATAAATTATAGACGCTAGAGATCATAAATTTCTGCGTGTTTCGCACAAATTTCAATAAACATTTAACTCTACTTTCATAGGGATCCCGCGGATAAGTTGATAAGACATCGAGCGTGTTCCTTGCGCGACAACGCTTACGCGTTGATAAAAGCCGAGTTGGATTCCGATTTTGAGGACAAATGTCGCGAGATTTCCAAGACCCGGCGTATTTTAGAGAACCCTTGCAACAACGAGGAAGAGAACAAGGATATGAAACAAGACAAAGAAACCACCGTCGTGAGCGAGCGTGCGGAGAAAAGGGAGTCCGTGAATTCTAGTCAGTCCGTTGTCGTGAACGGAAAGAGATTTGCTTCATCGAGGAAACGCAAAATACCCGCTTGGGCGCGAGGTTTCGTGAAAAAGGTTTCCAAGAAGAAGAAGATCGCTTTCGATGACAGTGTCACCGAAGTGGTTGCGAGTAAATCGTTAAACAACGAAAGCACCACCAGTATCGATTTAGAAAAGTTTCAGGAATTCGAAACCGAGGCGAATAGCGTCTTGAACGGTCACGTTGGATTGTTTGATAACACCGACTCCGAGAACGATTCGCAAAATGAAAATTCGAAGGAAAGCCAAAGCTCCGTTATCGCGGATCAACGAATAAATAATCTCGATCAAATACGAATATCTTTCAATGAGGAGGACAGACCCGTTAGAAATGATGATTCGAATTCGTCGTCTCGACGCGAAAGTATGGATGAACTTTCATTTGCCATTGAAAGCGATTCTAGTCGAGATAGGATCGATGATAATGAGAAGGTTCTAGTAGATAAAACCGAGCTCGAAAACGCATGGCACTTTACCGTTGATGCGACGAAAGATTTTCCCGTCGAAGTATTGTGCGACATTTACGTGCAACTAAGTAGATGCGTTGGTAAATATGCTCACAAGTATGATAGAAAATCACTGCCAAAGGTAAATATAGTTTACAAATATTTATCCAAGTTGTGAAAATAAGAATATACAGAACAATAAAAAAAAAAATATAACACGATTTATTTAATTTCTATAACACATTATGCATTATTATTGTTTGTTTGTGTTACAGGACTTGCTCAAGAAAGTGAAGAAGTTCACAGAGTACAACACACAGGTACAGGCATAGTACGAACGAAAAAATAAATCGCATTGCGAGTAATAACACACGACATATATGTTAATGCCATTGCAATATCTTTAACTGTATGTCAATTTTTTTTGTATATTTATACTAACTGCCGAATATTTACTATGCTTCTATCTCCAAATGAAATTTTAGGACGGTATATTTCTTAGTTCTTATACTGCCAGTCTTTTACGTAAATAATGGTACGTATCTACAAGATAATCGAGTTTTTTTTTTTGTTACGTATACACACATATATAGGGAATTATTAGTTTTTAAATATTTTTGAATATTCAAATTATTGACTTTTAATGTATATCTAATATTGACTTTCAATATTTAATACATTTGCAATATATATATTTGCTGAGTGAATTTCAGAAGAAATATGCAATTAGATTTTTTGTGTACATATTGTCGCAAGAATATTTAATCGATTGGTTCTCTTTTGATTTGATATCATTTTGCTTACAGACAAGTTCTAAGTATTGTGATTCTTAACCGCGTGGCTAAAGCATGGAGGAAGAAAGAGTTTATTTATCCGCTCTTTCTTGTTGATCGCGGTCACGTCTTTTTTTTTTTTTTTTTTTTTTAGGAAATATAAAAAATATCTGATAAAAAAAACAATTAATTCGCGTGACTAGATCGTTTGCGTACTAGGGTATTTATTATTATTTTTATCAGTATCGTAGATGCTAATTACAATCTTATATCGTTCTTAATATTACTTTATTGAGATTATATTATACACACTACCTGCATCATCACAGTGGTACACCAAAATAAGACAGAAAATTAGTAAAGTGCTACATATTCTTGTATAATAATAGAAGTACGATAAACTTTTGTTTGTATGAAGAAAGGTTCAAGACGAATTTAAACAAGAAGCAACAAGAATTAACGTAAAAATACGGGAATTGGTACATTCATGTACTTAACTATTTCCATCGAGATAGTTTTCCATTAACCCTTTCGCTACTTCTTCGCAGACGATTAGTCCATCCAGCGAAATATATATATTTTTCGCACAACGATGTTGTATAATAATTTTGATATATACGAATGCCCGAATTTATTTTCAATCACTCACCACACGCAATTTCGCACCTCTAATTTTGTACGTAGTCTCGAATCTCTTGTAAATAAATTTTTTAACAAAATGCGCGAAGAGAAGTCCGTATATATTGCAGAAGAAAGTTCTCATGGCTAATTGCTGCCGTAGCGAAAGGGTTAAATATACTCACGTGTTAACAGTACAATGATCGTCCTCAAGTGTAGATTTATTATCGCATTAAATAGGATGCAAGTTCAAGTACTTTGTTATATATCGCCGATGAGAGGGAATCTCATCTCTCTAGATTTGAAAACGATTTACAGACACGCAGGAAGAGTCAGAATACGAAAACGTGTATTTTTTTTCTATCGATAACGTTGTGGATTTCCTCGTGTATTGATATATACCTCGCTCTAAAAAAATGTATCAATTCGAATTAGTATATTAGCATACAGAGTATAATAAATATAAATATACTTGATGTAAAAAAAAAAAAAAAAAAGATCAAGCAGGTTAAAGCTTAATAATAATACACAAGAACAAATTGCATTAAAAAAAAAAAAAAAAAATTAAGTTCAGCTTGTGAATGGAAATTTTATTTGACATTTGTCGTGTATATTCTCAAACAAGGTGAGAAATATGTAGGCAACAACATTCGTTTTCATCAAAATTTCAATTTAAACTGAGAATCGAGAAAGAGAGAAACGTTCATTTATTGTGATTTAAAAAGTGTTTTTTTTTTTTGCGATTTGAGAAATATCTTATCGGTAATTTGTCCTCGATTCGTACAGAAATCATGCGCGAGACGTTTAAAATGAAATGCGCGACTAATCTGCAAGTTAGAAAGACCAAAGTTGTAAAAAGATTAAGATTTTACTCGTTGAGGATGAAAACAGGGCACTTGAAATATATATAATACACATATACATATTATTAAATATAAAATATATACCTCGACAAAGCAAAAAAAAAAAAAAACGCGTGATGTGGTAGTGGCGGGCTAGTTGGTCACGTTTAGATAAATTGTGAGGCTTCAAGAGAAAAAAAAAAAGTGAAGAACTGATATTGTCAACACTGATTTGTCTCATGTGTGTTGTATTTCTGTGAGAATGGAGTTGGTGCTTAAATTTAGTAGCACATCATGAATAGACGCGTAAGAATTGGAGAAGTTGAAGTAAAAAGAAAAAAAGTTAGTTCCATATCATTAAAAAAAACAGACAAATGAGACAAATAATTGATTTTTTTTTTAATCGATAACATAGAATAATTGAAGCGATAGCAACGTTGACTTTCAGGTCGGCTCTAAACATTTTCCCAATATCTGGCTGTCGTTTTACGAAGCATCTCAGAATTGTTGTCGCATTTTCTACGTGTTTATGTGTTCTCGTCTCTCGATCTCCCCTTCACATATTTCTATATTTTAATTCCAATTTTGAACACGCGCTCTATTTTTCAATTTGTTTGCAAAGAAACTATACATGTCTCAATTTTGAAGCAACTTTCTTAATATCTGAAAAAAAGATTTGCGACAATTCTGAGAAACTTCATTATCATACACACACACACACACACACACACCCATACACACACATATGTATAAATAATACCACACAAACATTTAGGGTATAACATGCCTTCTAGATTCGTGTATTGGTTGTGATTTGCTATAATTGTAAAACGGTTAGTTACCAGACGGAGTTGTATCGCATACAAAGAGACGGAAACTCGGTTTTTTACTTAGCCGTTTCTTTTTTTTTTTTTTTTTTTCTTATCGAAAACGGCTAAAAAGAGAACGGATTCTTCTCCGATAGCTAAAAGTACGTTTGAACGCAATACGTACGTAATTGTCGGCAAGCGACGTGCATGCGACTTCGCTGCTGCTCGAAATGATACGATCGAATAGGGAAGAGATACACAGATAAAAAAAAAAATAAGTTTTATTCAAGTAAAATTGTGATTCACGTGTGTAATATCTTTCTCAGGTGGTGTTACATCGCACTTTGACGATGTTTCATTGCCGTTTAGTTTAATTTAAACAATTATATACAATTGTGCTCACATTTGCGAAAATTAGTCCGCAAAGGTTTTTTCATCGTATATTCTAGCGTATTCGTTTCTCGCGACGTTTCTCGCGACGATGTACTTCGTTCGGCGAAGGTAACGGTGTTAGTTAGTGCAACAATTTGTTTATCTGACGAGAGTGAATTGTTCGTCGAAATTTATATATCGTATTACTTGAAAAAAAAAAATTCTTTAGCGAGTAGAATGAAAAGACTGAGGTTTTTCGACAAAAAAGAAACAAGTTGTTCGCTTTTTAGTGTTCGTATATATTGTGTGTAAAGCAACACGTCCTCGAATTCAGTTTTTTAATTAGAGAAGAAAAGTCAAGAAGAGAAGAAAGGAAATGATCGTGTGCTTTAGCATGTCGAGCTGTCGCAGATTCCATTAACTCGCCGATCGAACCCGAGAGGAGATTTCGTTGTAAGTGTCCGGTATATATTTGCCAAAGAAAAAATTAAAACGAGACAGACACGTTCTAGCAAGATTCTCTTTTTTTTGTGTAACATCATGCGAAGTGTTAAAAAAAAAATGAGACACACATACATACACACACACACACACACGAGAAAGTTACAACCGCGATTAACTATATACTTCGAAATCGGCGCTCAACATCGAGCGGATGTGATTTTTCTAGCTGTTACAATATTTACATTCCGCTTTGAATTAAAAAATGTAATCTAAAAACAATCATTATACTTATTCTATTCGATTTTATGTTTTTTTGACGCTACTTCTGGACACAACTTCTCTGTCGTTTTGCTGTCCTCAGTGCATATACGTAAAGCAAAGCAATGCGTTATATCGAATTGTAAAGTTATTTCGCGAACACTGCCGAGTACGAATGACCACACTTAATCCTCTCTTTCTCTCGAAAATTAAGAAAAAAATAAAAAGTAAAAAAAAAATAAAAAAAAACTAAACTTAAGACTGCTGTCTCTATGTGAAGAACGAGGTGGTCCGCGCGTTTGAGCTTGAGCTTTAGCATATCAAGTCTGGAAATTTGGTTTTTTTTCTACGACACATGGCACCCCGATGTTATTCACCTCAGATAGACAGTAGTCTTGAGATCTTACTTATACACACACGAGTAAGTTGTAAGAGATACGAACAAAAAGCGGTGTGTGATGTGCATCCACTGCCTTATTTATTTTACCATATAAGTATAATACATTTTATTGTCGTATATGATAGTGTAATAAAATTTCGTAATGTAATCGATATTATTTGTTACGATCTTTTATTTGCGTTTCCCTCATTTTTATTCTATAAGTGCGTACGCGTATGTAATACACACATAATCATGTTGGTTGTGAATTTTTGCAATTTTTTTTATTGCCAAATAATCATTGTTTTTGACATCCTTATTTTGTTCCGTCTCTCCCATTAGTTTTTAATTCATTGTCTATTACGGAGTAATATCGATAATCGATTCGCGTTTACGACTTCTCGTCTGTCAGCTGGCGAAAAGTTAGGAATAATGAAATTGAGCAGTAAACTCTCGTGAACTCTAAAAATAACATTTTGCAAATAAAAATTCCAGTGAACGATAACGCGATCAGAATGCGCGCTTGAATCGAATTGTTTTGAGATATTTGCAGCAAAAACAATTCAATGATGACAATTTTTTTGCTTTAACCATATGAAGAACGAGACTAGATCTCGGTGGTGTGTGTGTTTTCGAGTTTTTTTCTTTTTTCTTTTTTTTTTCTTGAAAAAAAAAAAATATGTTTGGGACAAAGGATTTTTCCTGCATCGGTGGATTGGAAAAACACATCAGAATCGTAAAGGAGATGGTTATGTTCCCGCTGATGTACGGGGATGTGTACGCCAAATTCAATCTCAGACCGCCGCGCGGGTTGTTGTTCTACGGTCCCCCAGGTAATGGTCAGGTAGTCATTTTGCGAAGCGAAAAAGCTCTGTGTTGAACCTTTTTTCCCCCATTTATTTGATCAGGAACGGGAAAGACTCTCGTGGCCAGTGCTTTGGCAACGGAATGCAGCAATTCTGAGCGCAAAGTTTCTTTTATCTCGCGCAAAGGTTCCGACTGTCTCAGCAAATGGGTCGGAGAGAGCGAGAAAAAACTCGAGAAGATTTTCTCGTTGGTTGGTAAAGTTTGAAATATCTTATCAATATGTTATCGTATTGCATTCGCATCGGTATATATATTTATATATATATATGTGTGTATCTTGATTTCTGTATGTCGGTACGTATCTTCTTCAGGCGCAACAAACGAAACCGTGCGTCATCTTTTTCGACGAAGTCGATGGCCTTGCTCCCGTAAGATCCAGTCGGCAAGATTTTGTCCACGCTAGCGTAGTGTCCACTCTCTTAGCTCTAATGGATGGTTTGGAAAATAATTCTGAGATAATAGTAATAGGCTCGACCAACAGAATCGACGCTATAGATCCTGCTCTGAGAAGACCGGGCAGATTCGACAGAGAACTGTATTTTCCCTTGCCTTGTTACAGCGCCAGGAAAGAAATACTCTCGGTATTGTTTACGCGCAACATTAAAGACAAGAAGAAAAGACGAAAAATCTATACAGAAAAAAATTTTAAATGTGTTGATATTTTGATGCGGTAATAGGTACATATCAAAAGCTGGAAGCAAAAACCGACGCAGAAATTTTTGGCGTATTTGGCATCGAAAACTTTAGGATTTTGCGGCAGCGATCTTCAGGCTCTTTGCGCCGAAGCAGTGATGTGCTGCATTCGTAGAAACTATCCGCAAATCTATACCTCCAAATCGAAATATCACATTAACGAACGTCACCTCAAAGTAGGTATATCGGTGTACGATAATATAAGTAACTTTTTTTTTATTACAAACTAAGCGAGAAGAAGTAAAATAAATTTTACAATATTTGATTTCTTTTTTTGAAATGAAATATATAAGTTCTATATATATCAAAGGAGTAATTGATGCGAGAAATATTTGTTATATTTTTATATCATATATTATTTCTCACACACGAAATTAGAGACATTAAGCAACACGATATACTGATTTCTTATCAAGGTGGAAAAGGAAGATTTTTTGAAGGCGCGTCAGAACATCGTTCCCGCATCGCATCGCGTTATTGTCGCTCCGATCAAAAGTTTATCTTTCAAGATCCAGCCGTTGTTTCAAGAGGATCTGGAAAATATTCTGACGCGGTTACAAACCCTGTGCCCAACCGGCATGCTGACTTCCGACAGCGTGTAAGCGCGTCGTGTGATTTAAAAAAAAAAAAAAAAAAACATCGCAACGCGAATTTAGTTATTTTAAAAACTAATTCAAATGCGGGACACGCAGTACAGGTAAAGCCGCGTCCAAATCGAGCGGTTGCCCAAGAATTTTATTGTGCGGCGACGATTCCCACACTCGTCATTTGGGACCGGCGTTGCTTCATACCTTAGAACATCTGCCGTGTCACGTTTTAGATGTTACAACGCTATTTGAAGAAACGGGCAAAGTGGCCGAAGAAGCTATGATACAGGTAGAATATCCTTTTTTTGTGCGTCCTTTCTTACAAAGGAGATAAGATTTTGTATATACTTTTTGCCACTTTTTCAGAAATTTAAGACCGCGCGACGCACACTACCAGCGTTATTGTATGTTCCCGGTATTTTGACGTGGTGGGACTTGGTAGATCAAACAGCAAGAGTTGTTTTCACTTCTCTGATGCGTGGTCTCGATCGATCGGTGCACATGCTTGTGTTGATGACCGCTCACTGTCGACACACCGACTTACCATCCGAGGTCAAAAACATCCGAAAACCTGTTTTTGTTCTGCTCAGCTCTTTTTTTGCTCGTTCTTTTTATAGTCGCTGACAAGCTTAAAATAGTTTAAACACATGCCGGAGTCTTGCTAGAGATACACAAAAAAGGATCTTTTATAAAAAGAAATTTTTTTTTGCAACACATTTACATTTCAGGTTTCTACAATTCTTGAATTCTTGAATTATTTCTGTAGCTTATAAATGTTTAAACATGAGAACATTAAAATTGAAACACGCGGAAGACTTTGAAAGCGTTGACTTGGTCAAGACAGCAGAATTTTATAGATTTTAATTTTTACGTTTTTTAAATATCTTTTATATTATGTATTTTCAAATTCGTGCGATATAAAATCATGTGATTATTGACCGGTGATGTATCGTAGATTGCGGAATTGTACGACAATAACTGCGGCGAGATGTATGAAGTAAGAGTACCTTTGCCGCAAAAACGGCGATCCTTCTTCAAACAATTGTTTGTCAACGGAGGTTCTGATAATCTTTCTGATTGCTCTTCGCAAGGTACAATTCAATTATATACTTAAAATAAGTAATATTGTGCTATAATATTGCGTTAACGATCGATTTCTCTGACAAACGCAGCGGATCTAATACACATCTTAAGTCCAAAAAAGCTCAAGCACGAAAATAATAAAAAATTAAGAAACTACGACTCTAACGGCTTATTAGGTATGTTTATTAAATTTGCAAATATATGTATGTAAAAACTCGAGTGAATAAAACAGGATACTTAAAAAGTTTCGAGAAAACGCGACTTAAAGTTTAACCAAAATCTGTAAAAAAAATATTAGAAGATTAGACAGAGAGATGCCGGTATAAAAATTTTGATGTACAACAAGTTAAAAATCGTTTCGTTTAGATCAATTATATTAATTGTGTGTACAGAGCTTAGCGCGGCTCGGTCGAAGAAATTAAAAGCTGAATCAAAAGCACGTAACAAACTGGGAGCTGTGCAATCCTCTCACTCGACGTCTTCAAAATCAAGTAAATATTAATTGAAACTTAATATAAATCTAATTTTTTTCTATCTCACAACCGCCATATAAATCTGTAATTGCTAAGCAGAGACGAACATCAAAAGGGAGTACTACGCGTCCGGCGAGGGCCTGTCTCCTAAAAGGCAGAAACTAATGTCCGGTACGTCCTCGGTCTCTCCGTCCAGCACCGAAAGACTCTTCGGTTTTCAAATTGAGGACCTGGTCGAGAATATTGTGCGATCGACCGATGAATGGCCCAGTTATCTACTGGAGAGTCTGTTTTCCTGTCTCGAACTCACAATGGAAAACAACGGAGACTTATACGCGATCGTGAACGAATACGTTGCACGTTACGAGGAAGTAAAACGAGCGAAAATGCGTGCTACGCAGGATGACGATTAACTTTTATTTTGACAAAACGTTTCTTTGTTTGTCAGTCGTTGTGACGTCAAAATCCATAAATTCGTGTTGTGACATATAATAAATGACACATAAAAAAAATAAAAAACACAAACGTGAAGTTAAGAATCCTGTGCAATTGACTTTCACGATCTGACATTTAGTTGTAATTTTATTTACCATCTTAGCTACATTATTAATCACTCGACCGCTATGAATTGTTTTCAAATCGATTCACTATGTGTTTTAACATGATGCTCCAGTTCCCTCTGATTACGGATGACTGTCTCGTCTCCCTTTACAACTCGTAAGATGGGATCAGTTTCTCCTACTTGAGGGTCTCCGCATGTAAGTAGAGGGGTACAGCAATGAGAGCCCTCAGACTTATTAGTCAGCGTGCGACCGCAGTACCATACGCTGTATCTGGCATCTCGTATTGTGCGAGATAAAAGTGCATAACACAATATCATATGTAACGAGTTATCATTTCAAAGTTGTTTTGATACTTGTATCTGTTCGGTGACATATCATAAGCTCGGGTTTTTTTCGTATCACATCGCAAGACAATTTTCGCTTCTTCCGGAAACTCAAGGGGTTCGTATATTCCGGCTGGTAATACACGAACGAAGTCATAAGAAAAATCACGTGCGCAATACATGTGTTCCTATTGCATGTTAACGTCTACATGTAAACACCTTTGAATTCTTGAAATACAGTTTTAGCTCGCGCGCGCGCGCGCGTTTGATATAATAATTTTTCTTCTCTTAGTTATTTTCTATAATTTTTACAGAAATTTATTACTGGCATGACTGAATAATTCTCATTTTGGCCATAGAATAATTTATTTCTCTATAGTTACCTGTTTGCTTTAATTAACTATGTTACTGCACAAACGCTTGATTGAAAGCTTTGTAAGAGGTCAAGCAAAAGAAGAAACACAGCTTGATGTTTTCAATAAATATTTATTACAGACATATAAAAAGAAGACATAAATCTCTTAAGTTTAAGTAACATCGTTTAGCTTTATAACATCTTGAGCTTGAATAATAGTAATAAACTTAATCTTATATTATTTTTCTCTAAAAACTAAAAAAAAAAAGATGCTGCTAATATACGTATCTAATATGTAAGTATTAAAAACAGAAAATGAGATATATATAAATATATATATAACAATATAAAAATAAAAACCAAAGAGAAAAAACTAATGTCATACCACTATTGTAAGGTTTACAACATACAAGATAATCTACAAACACTTATTTCTGAGCTACTTCTGAGTACCTGTGAAACTGTTCAAAATTAATTCCTATAGAAATTTTATCTCCAAATTTTTTATTACATTCAATTAAAAAAATCGAAATTATTTCAATCAAAATAATTCGAATTTTGCGTCAATTATTCTCAGAATGTCTATATTACAACAATTCAAAATTGATCCGAGAAGTTGATCAATTTAAATTAATTATAAGCAGTTTCATAACAGATATTTTGATCAATTTTATTAACGCCAAACTATTTTTAACAAACATTTATACGACATTAAATGAAGATAAAATGTTTTAATCTACGTAAAAGAGTTTAACTATTAATAAAAACGTTTCTATCGAGTGTTTAGAAAATTTTATTTATTTTAGTTTTATACTATTAATAGAATAATCAAAATCAACATTGTGAATTAAATTCACAAATTTTGGATTATATCACATTTTATTTATTTGAAATAAAAAACTATCCGATTATAATTTAAAAAATTAAGAAAAAACCGTTTTTGTTTAAATAACTTTTTTCTTTATAGATTAGGTTAGATGTAACAACTTTGGTTGGTATGTTCTACAAAAAACATACACAAAATAACGAGAATCAAATATAAAAAAAAATAACAAAATCTTATGCCGCAACCGTAACCAAACTTTTCTTCAAACAAAAAAATAAGCATAGTATATAAAAATATTAGATTAATGGCAGTCATTTTGTACACATACTATTAACGATTGGCTATATTTTGAACAGCTATATTAGTTTATGACGTCAGAGCAAGAAGTGTACAAGTATTATGGCCGATAATTTTGTTTATTTAAGAATAACTTCAGATCTGTAGTTCTTATTAAATGTAAAAAAGATAGACTAATGCTTCTAGCGCGCGAACGTTTAAACTAACGTACCCTACGCTATTTCGTGCTTCTGACGTCATAAGCCAATATGGCTGCTCGAGGAAATACAAACAGATATACAGCAGAGAAAAGCTCGTATACATGCCTTGGAGTTTGTTTTTTTTTAAATAAAAAAAAATGTGTTAGAGCACGATCTCTGTATGTGCAAAATGCAAGTACTATTCTATTAGTTTAACTAATATATTTTAATTAAATAATAACAACTAAATCTTATAATTCCGATAGCTTTGGCTCTAAATTGAGCTATAGACTATCGTATCAAAATATCATACGATAGAGTGAAAAATTGTCATGTACACGTAAATTTTATATATACATGCACATGTAGTTTTATTCTACTTTTTAGTAAAAAAACAATTATTTAAAAAAAAGAAAAAGTATATTGGCACATTGACTTTGTCATCTGACACAGATTACGACTTACGTAATATTCTAATCTGATTTTTTACTCAACAATGTATCTACTCTAACATAACAATTGCATCATTATTATTATCACTGCTTTTCAATCTATTGTTGCACTGCGATTTTGTTGATTGAGAATTGCCGATCTGTTCCATTTGGTAAGCTTGAAAAAAGTTCTTGAGGTTACTTCATACACTCTTCAAAGTTGTTATTAATTTCCAGAAAATCATTGTAAAACTTAATGCCGTATCGATTAAAATTCTCCAAATAATTGTTTCTTTCTTTGTCAAACACTTTGTTCAAAAACTGAGCATTATTTTCCACACTCGTAAACGGAGAATAATCAAATGTCTGAAAACTTGCTGCATGATCGGTGTTGCATTTGTTTGGATCAATTAGTAATATTTTTCTCGTGGGAAACGTTTCTTTAACGTTTCGCACCAAGATTTCTCTTTCCGTACGATTAGGTGATTCGTGATTAATATCGCTTTCTACGTGTCTTCTTGTTATTCGCAAAACTTCCTGCACCTCATCGTCGACGTCTACTACGTTAGACTTTACCGATTTGTCTTTTACTTTTTGTTTTCGAGAAACAAAGGGATGCTTTTTCTCGACTTGGTTCAAGTTATTTACAACATTAACACTTTTTGTAGAGTTTGCTACAGAATTTTTTCTTTCTTTATGTACAGCATCTTTGTTAAATCGTCTAACGGAATCGTATCGATTTTCGTTTAACAAAGAAGTTTCTGCGGCATTGGATAAAGTTTCATTGAATTTGTTGTGCTGAGAAATGAAAATTACTTCAGAATTGTCCGACAAAAGTTTGTTACGACAATATACGTTTCCGCTATCGTGCGTTATACTTCTTGAGTTTTCTTTGTCATGGATGTTTACATTATCGACGAAACTTGAGGGAAGCATCAATATATCTTCTTCTTCGGAAGCAGAATAACAGTTTGTATTCTTCTTCTCGTTGTAGTTACTGCTATTTTTTTCCGCGTCTTCGTGTAGCGCATTCGAGATCTCTACCATGGGACTTTTCCCACCCATCATTACACTCGAAGGCGCTACCGCATCACCTTTAGTGGTCGCGAATTCACCTACTATGTATCGATTCGCGTCCTTATGGGGTGGCATGTTTTGTTCTACATGACCATTATCCACAATATAGTTTGCAACAGAGAAATCGATATTTGTAACGAAGACATCTTGATGTTTCTCATCTTCCAAGTCTTTAGTTTGCACACCAATGTCGATGAAATACGTGACGTCGTTTTGAGAAAGCACGTTCAAATATTTTTTATTTAGATACACTTCTCTCGTTATAGCTCCCTTAAGTTTAAATCGCACGAGTACCGTTTCTTTTTTACGTCGTTTCTTGTGGCTGTGTGTGTTGTGTATCAGTTTCTTGTGAATCTTCAATTCGGATGCGGTCTCAAAATGCCCGTCGCATATTTCGCAAATTTTACCTACATTTTCGAGATACATATTTTTATCTAAACTGTCGTATAACGATTTTATGGTTCCGTTGTGTCGCCAATTTGTGTGCATAGCAACGTCGCTCGTGCATTTGAAGTCTCTGCCGCATATTTTGCACCTACTTCCGATAATTACGACACTGCATTCGCGGAGGATCACATTGTCAGGAACGCGCCATTTTCGTTTGTTCGTCGGCATCTTGATGAAATCATACATCTTCTGAATCTTCTTCCTGAGTTGTCGCGCTAATACGCTATCTCCACCGTTTCTTTATCATACACGCCGATTCGCAGAGTAACTTTACTCGTCATGACCTTAACCGTGTGATGGCCCGCTCTCGACAGTCACCGAGAAACTTCGCCAATCATCGCTGTAACTTCGTATTGCACTTCGTCCGACTTCGGTTTTGTTCGGATGTCGTGCCGCGCTTCGGAGGTAGGATAAATTACTTTCTCTCCACGTACGTGATCGTGTATCTCACGACGCTACCATAAGAAAACGAAGGACTGTGATATTGTTTGAGCCTTGTGTGTATATCCTTGGCAACTCGTTGCCATGTAAATACTTATATTTCTCACATGTTGGAAAAGAACAGAAAAAAAAAAAAAAAACAAATACATGTTATTCTCGGTCACAGTCGTTTTAATATTTTTAGCAGAGAATATCGACGATATGTCTGTTTTATATCTCATCAAATACTTTTTAGAATTTTAACAATAAGATAGTTTACATAAATAGTTTATATAAATTTAATGTAAAAACGTACTGACACAGTTTAAGCTTATTGTCGAGAAATTAATTTTTTACGACATTTGTGAAGATTTACTTGCCAATTGATTCAATATTTAAAATTGGCGGAGATAAATAGTTTGGTATTTTAAGTATCTCTGTGTGTACATGTATATTATATTTATAATATCTTCCAAGTACAGGCAGAAACGTTTATGTTGTAAGAATCATCATTAATGTTTATTTTTAAACAATATTTTGTTCATAAAGTTTTACAGTATTTTCACTCACATTATACAATGCCTGGGATCGACTTCTGATTTATTACTATCTCGAATTTTATTTATAGGCCTGACATCGGATCTTGTTGCTAGCCGGAAAATGTGTTATTTAGATTATTACAGGATATGACGCATAAGAAGTAGATAAATGCAAAAATAACAAAATAAGATATTCTAAGGTCTAAAGAGTTAACGATCACGGGGGCAATGAGTGTTTGGTCGGAATATTTTTACATATTTTTAAATTGCATTAATAATACAACGCCTTAAAAAGTAACAGTACAAAGGCAACAATAATATTCCTGTCTGTAGCAAAACCTAATGTAAACAAATCTAAAAGATCGAAAATATCGACTAACATGTAGCAACATTCAAATATAAGTCACCAATTTTGCTGAAGTAAGCATATATTGTTGCACGTATACTGTTGCTTCGTCTATGCATTTCAATGTTTGTAAGTGCTACATCTGCAGTTATCGTTTTGCCTTATCTCATATTTCAGTACAGCGTCGAGTTTCTTTTGAAGTTGTCATCTCTCGGTTTTTTACAAAAAAAAGACATCATATGTGAGAAAATCCTTCCTTTGTAATTTAAATTTGAATTGCTAATCCCGAATATTTATGGACTCACTTTTCTGGTTTCGAAATATAAACACAATATAGTCTCATGCATATGTTGTATTTATAATATTTTCGTTAAAGTACAATGATCTTTCTCTCTTGTTCTTAAAATGTTTTTAATCTCTTCAATGTCAGCGTCGGATTTAGCCGGCATTCACGTAACGAGCAAAAGTTGCAACAAAACAAACAAAAAATTCAGTACATTTATCGAAAAGTAAAAATTTCTACTATCAAAAATATCCTTTCAATCGATCCTGCCAGGATTCGAACCTGGAATCTTCTGATCCGTAGTCAGACGCGTTATCCGTTGCGCCACAGGACCACACAAAGAACGAGAAGTTTATAAGAGAAGAATATATATTAGAAAAACGTTAGTAATAAATATTGATATGATTATTTAAATAAAAATCTTTTGCACTTACAAACAATTCTTATATTCCATATTTACAATCATGATATTCATATCATAAAAAAATCACTATAAATGTTCTCACAATTTTTTCATATTCTAACGATTTTTTTGTTTCTCAACACTATTCCGTGCTTTTTTGAAATTTAATATCCACATTGCTCCCGCTTTAAAATGAAGAAGAATTCTTCTTCTGCTTTTAGCATCGTCGCAGATATAAATAATAAATAATTCTGTTTTTGCTATCTTCGAATTGTGCGAAAACTTATTCAGAAATATGTAACAGAGTTTTTCTCTGAGTGCAATCTTTTAGATAATTTTATATGTGTACTATTAATTATTATATCTGTTTTAGATCTATTCGTGATAAATGTATGCGGAAACATGGATATTCGTGATAATTTACGTGACTTGTATTCGTAAGTTATTACGTTCAACTAGAGAGAGATTATCGTCACAATACATAGTATTTGTATTTGAATGATTAGAAGTGTCATTTTTCTCTGATAGAAAACGTCACCGGAGAAAACAGTTCCAAACGTGGTTTGTGCAACGGTTACAAATCCGGCGAGGACGATCTTCAAACGTTCGATTTTATCAGCAAGTTGAAACTGAATCTGCTAGATCTCCATTACAGCGGCATGACGAAAGTCCGAGGCAGCAATCGCATGCAAACGGCGTATCGGCTGGAGAAAGACACTGATGTCACTCTCTTGATGAAGTATTCAAATTATCTCGCCTTGAGACAGTGCTGTAGTTAGCTTCTTTCAAATTCTTGTGCGCAAAGTTCAATGTGTGCGTTTTTCTTGATTCAGTACATTAAAGTATAGTAGATTAAAAAAATAAGCAATTTTTGCAACAACGCGCGGATTACATAATACACGCGTCTGCAAATTCCAACAAGCGAAAGATTTTTTTTTTTTGATTATATCGGTTTTTATAAATTTGCTTTAAAAATCAATCAACATCTTTTTCATGTTCGAGCGATTTATTTTTCAGGAATATCACATCCAATGGTTTTCCAGAGGAATTTACGCTGGTGTACACGTTAAAAGCCAGAAAATCACCGAGATATCCTTGGAACATTATCAGAATCGTGGACGCAAAAGGTGCTGCCCAATTTCTAATCACGATGAATCCCAGGAAACAGACCTTGGAAATCTCGTTACTCGATCACGAAGAGATTTTACAGACTGTTTCTTTCATGAACGATCGCGTGAGTGTCAGGCATTTATCACGTCGTTATCAGAGTATTATGATGATTGTATAATCTCGTGTTTTTTTAAGATGAACATTTATTATATGCGTTGCCAAGTCAGAAATCAAATGTTTTATAAGAGACAACAGTCGTTCCAACTGATTTAGTCTGCGTTCGTTTTTTACTGGCAGTACTGAAGATTTATAGATTTATGTCACGTATACTATAGATTTTTCAGTACTGCCAGTAACAACCAAACTGAGTGTTAGTTGATCAATTATTTGATTTTAAACAAAAAACAAATCACCGCGCAAGTTATCGCGCATGAAATGCGCATTTGCGCTGATAAAAAATAAACGTTAATCGTATCACAATCTCTAGCTGATGCGGCAGATATAATCGCATGTTATCGGTAGTTCCTTGGTTTAAATGCCACTTAAGAAAGGCTTACCCGGCAGAAATTCTATCACGCGAGTGAAATAAAACGCGCGCTATGCTATCGGCGATTCAAACAATGTGATCGTCATGTTACGCTCGCCGCGTTGTGATCGATGAAAGTGTTATAATGCAGACAATTTACGAGTCTTGAAATAATGTTGAATTAAAAGATTCTTGTAATAAATATGAATGAAAGACTCATCAAAGACTTCACCAAGTTTTGATAACATATCTTGTCAGAAGTAATTTCTTTTTTTTTTTTTTTTTTTTGCGTCATTATATGTTGTGTCTTCAGAGTGAAGATAAAATTACAAAAACTAGGTAATCGCACAGTAATGACGCACGCGTCATTAAGTAAGAATTTTAATACAAAAAGTACGGTTTTATAAAATATATTATATATATATATATATATGTTTTTTTATAATAATTTTTTATAATATATGTATTGTTTTTATATGCACACATACATATATGTATCATTTTTATAAAATAGGTGTTTGACAAGGGCTGGCACAAAATAAATCTTGGAATATTCAAGGATAAGCTAGTGCTTAACGTTGACTGCATACACGTTGGCACGGAAAAGTTGAAACCGCGCAACCCTATTAAGGTCGACGGAGAAATATCGATAGCAAAAATGAACAATAGTAAAATCACCGTGCCGGTAAGCTCCCTGTCAATATTAATAAAACAAAATTACATTTCAAGTAATCGGATTCGATTTAAACCATTTAAAATACCCGCTACTCGCATCTCTAAAATTTCTTCAGCACGTTCTTTTTGATTAATCTCTCATGTGTGTTCTTATACGTGTGTCTATTAACGAGTTGCATCTCCGTTATGTCACTGTAAGGAATGCGTCATGAGATAATGTTACATGTCAACCGTCACGATTACAAGGAACTCACGCGACTTCATTAATATCCCCCTTTACGTGGAATGAGGCTGCAACTGTCAGTAGGGCTAAATTTAATATTAGACTCTTTGACCCACTTATTTTCTAGAACACACAACGGCATTCAAGTCTTATTAAATATTGACGATTGAAGAAATAATTGTTTACACGTAAAGTGAATGAGAGTAGAATACGAAGACACGTGACACATACACACACATACACATGTACAGTTAAAATTAATAAAATTCTTCGTTAATATAAAGTTTGTAACAGAGAGAGATGTAATAAAACATCACATCTGAAAACTATTCAAAAGTGAAAATAAATGTTTACTTTTTACTATCAGGTCGACGTGCAATGGATGGTTCTGAACTGCGATCCCACGAGAGTAGAGAGAGAAACATGCGAGGAGTTACCGGTAAGATAATATATTTATATATTTTTCACAAGATCACTTATCGAAAACGATCTGTTTGGTGTTTAATTTACGTGTCTTATCTAGAAAACCTTAGGTGCTCCTCTTCCGCAAATAAAACCTGCCTGTCAGATTTGCCCGCAGGGTCCGCAGGGATTTAATGGTACAAACGTAAGTTCCGTCTCGCGTGTAAAACAAAATATTTTATAATTTATATCGCGTATATGTGTTTTCATTAACATAATACGATTAAATGTCGATGAAAGCAAATTTCTTGCTCGGTACACGAATCTGTCAGCCGCTGATATTACGCAGTTCGTACTCTTCCACTTGTCGATAGAAAAAACAAGAAATAATTAAGTGATAAAACACTCACTGTCATTACATGTGACACAACTCTTCTCAAGAGGGTCTGATTTGTTGGGCGATGAGCTAATACATTAAAGACGAAGTATCAATAAGATTGAGAGCACTTACACAGTCAACTGGCATACTCGATGTATTATACGTCGATTTAAATGCTAGTGAATTTGAACTAGAGTCAAAATTAACTTTCTTAGTAAAATTCTTTCTGAGATAGTTAATGAGATTGCACATATTAGGGATTGCCCGGTCCGCCTGGACCGATTGGAAAACCAGGACCGATCGGTGCAACGGGTCCGCCCGGACTTCCGGGACAACCTGGTGAACACGGAAGAACGGTATGTATCGAAATAGTTTATATGTTGAAGAAATATGTATAAACACAGAGAGACATTAAAGTAAAAAAGAAATATTATACCAGGGAGCTCCAGGTAATCTTGGTAGTAGAGGTTTTCCAGGATTGCAAGGTCCCAAAGGATCGATCGGATCACCAGGATCGCCCGGACAAAAGGGCGATCGCGGTGAAAGAGTAAGATTTTTTCCTCTTTTAGATCGCGAGCAAGCATTGGAAAATATCTTTATAAGAAAACGATAACAGATCGAACTCCGTAGGGTGATATGGGTTTTCCGGGTCTAAAAGGAGATCAAGGTCCTCGTGGTTTTCCGGGTCCACCGGGAGGTGTAAGTAATATAAACGACGTCTTACCGCGTTTGACAGGTCCTCCTGGACCACCAGGCAATAAAGGTGACAAAGGTGAACGAGGACAGGATGGTATTCCGGGACAAAAAGGTGCATATTTTTTTTCACATTCGTTACTTTACATGTTCCGCGAGAATAAGATACACGAAGTTTACGAAGAACACAACAACATCGTTCTTATTTTTTACATTTAAATGACCTAATTACTAACATTTTATACATATGTATATGTTGCAATATATTTGTATAATGTAAAAAAGTCACACGGTCCTAATAACGTAAATTTGTATAAATGTAAAAAAATCACACGATCCTAATAACGATTATTGAATGATTTAGACGTCACATATACCATTTCACATATCGACGTTGACCCAGATGTACTCATTCACAGTCATTGTAAATCAATTTATTGCAATCTGTGCGGCTATAAATTGCTCGCTTAAAAGTAACTCAAAAAGTCAAAATTAATTGAGTACGGTAGAAAAAAAGGTTTTATTAAAAATATTTGTTAATTAAAATTGACATCGCGCAAACATTATTAAGAAACGCCGTTGTCTCAAATGTATTGATTAAATGCTAGGTAGGTTGTTATAAAATTTAATATTTATACTTTAGGTGAACGGGGAGATCCAGGAACTCATGGTCAAAACGGTGCGCTAGGTTTTCCTGGTCCTCCAGGACCACCCGGTCTTCCTGGGCCAAAAGGAAACGACGTGTTTGTAAATATTCCTACCGTTCCAGGACCACCAGGTCCTCGTGGCGTAACAGGACCAGCTGGTCCGCCAGGACCGCCAGGTCCTCCTGGTTTTCCAGGCCCGAAGGGTGACGCTGGAGAACGCGGTCTTGACGGTTTGCTACTAATTTATCAAAGATAGAACAAAAAACTTACTATTTTATACGCAACGGTATTTTCTAATATAATTAATACAATTATATAATATATAATATATGATAGAATTATTTATTATGCTATTCTTTAAGGTACACCGGGATTGGCGTATAACAATATAGGCTCACTTGGTCTTGAAGGACCTGTCGGTTCTCCTGGTGAAGATGGTATTCCAGGTGAAAAAGGAGAAGCTGGACCAATAGGTCCCCCAGGACTACCCGGAATTCCAGGAAATGACGGATCTCCAGGATTACAAGGATTACAAGTACTTTGTTACTATTGTAATCGTATTATTTGATTAATTTATTATTTTATTAAAGTAAAATAATTTTAATAATCGTTTTTATACATTTTTTTAAATTTCCATAATATTATTTATAATATTGCTATAAGGGATTACCAGGGGAACCGGGTCCCCCAGGACCTCGAGGTTTAGAAGGACCTGCGGGAAAACCGGGACTGCCGGGATTTGATGGAAAACGAGGTCAGGAAGGAAGTAAGGGCCAGAAGGGTGAACAAGGGATTGTTGGGCCTCCAGGATTGCCAGGAAATTTGGTAAATATAAACGAAACAGTAATGTGCAGTACGTAATTTAAAACAACTGAAAAAAACACATAATTATTAATTTAGGGTCCAATAGGATCGCCAGGTGCCTCAGGTGTACCGGGATTAGAAGGAAGACCTGGTCTACCCGGACTTCCGGGACCACCAGGGCCACCAGGATCACCAGGATCGCCGGGTTCTCCTGGTCTTTCGTCGAACAACAGCTTTGTTAACGTCAATAACCCCGGTCCCGAAGGTCCCAGAGGTTCTCCGGGTCCTCCAGGACCTCCAGGAATAGTAAGTATTCTGTTTATAGCATAATATCGAAATCCAACGAAATTTAAAATTAATTATTTCTTAAATAAAATATCTGTGGTTTTAATATTATATTCGAATTAAATATTAAATTATAATTGTGAAAATAATCAGCAAGGTGAAAAAGGAATTCCTGGAGAACGAGGACCAGAAGGTCAGGTAGGAATACCAGGAATGCCAGGTAAAGACGGGATACCTGGGTTGCAAGGACCTCCCGGAAACAGAGGTCAAACGGGACTACCAGGACTTCAAGGACCGCCAGGTCACAGTATTAGCGAAGAGGAGATTCGTGATATTTGCGCCAGCGTGTTAAGAGGTGATGATTTTTACTTTGATCATTAATTCACTGATTTTTTTTGTAAATGTTAGTTACAGTTGATCGTAAAAGTTTAATCGCTTCTTTAATCACCGTTTCGAAAGTTTAATTTAAAAAATGTTAGCAATTTTCTTCTTTCTCTTTTTTATTTTACATATATGTATACATATATGTAATATATTGCCTAATAAAAAAGAGAAAGACGAAAATTGTCATTTATATTATATATACATACGTATACAGAACAGATGACCGAAATGGTAACAATGATGCAAGGTCCGCCTGGTCCGCCTGGTCGAGGTCGTCCAGGCCGTCCTGGATTACCTGGTCCTCAGGGTCACCCAGGTACACCTCCCTCAATATCGGTTTTTTTTTGCACTTTTCAAAACTTGCGCTCGGCACGATATTAATCGCATTAAAAATTGGCTAATACCATCACATAGATTTTCTTATTTAGTTTATAGAATCTTGGATATGTATAGAAAACGAGACACGCGCTAGGATCCTAACATGAAAAAAGGGAAGTGCGTCACAACGGCATCGTCGTGTAGTATCACGAGCTTAAAACGCTTCAAGTATCATAATTCGTCGTTTTTCGCATAAAGCTACGTTATAGCACATGCGAATCATTATTGACGCATTGACAGACTAAACAAATATATCGACGACTCAATCAAGACCGACGTTCTTATCGCTTGTCGTTTACGTCCATAAAGATTTTTGTGGCATGTGTCGCAGAGAGGCTGAAAGAATTAACAGAGGGTCTACAAGGTCTACCCGGATTGCCGGGGCCGGCTCGACACGGCCGTCCCGGTCGAGCCGGGAAGCGAGGCATTCCAGGTACCTATCGCTTTCAAACCAGAAATGCGTAATGCATTTGTTCTGAATGTTTGAAATGCGATACGTTCTAAACAAAAAGTGCAGGAACTGTGCTTTCTTTGTGTGCATGCGTAAGCAGATTAATCAAGTAATATCATCATAATACGTGCATTCATGGTTTGCAAATATCTGTACAAATTGTTTTTTTTGCAAACATACATATATTCTTTGGTGATTATTATTTTTTACGTCTAGGCGATCCAGGACCGCCGGGTTTGCCGGGCGAACGTGGGTTCGTTGGTTTGCCTGGTCCGCAGGGTCCTGTCGGACCGGTAGGACCATCTGGTGAGCGAGGAGAAAAAGGCGATCGAGGTCCCGAAGGGATCGGTATAGAAGGTCCGCCTGGTCCGCAAGGTTTACCAGGTTCGACAATAAAGTGACAATGCAACAGAAAAAAACTTATTGAAAAAATAAATAAATAAATAAATAAAAAATACATTTTTTTTCGTTTTGCACTACAGGACCTCCAGGTAACGACGGTATCGGTCTACCTGGCAGACAAGGAGACAGAGGTGAACCGGGCAGACCAGGTACATAAAAATTGCTTGAAAAAGTCTCTTTACAAAAACAGTTTTTACATAAATAATTAAGTAAAATCAAATTAAGAGCTTTTATAAAGTAATTATAAATATAGAGATCTCTGATATATATATACATATTTCTCTGTAATATGATATGTACAAGAGCTGCCTCTGTCTGTTGATAGGTACTCCCGGAGTAAGAGGACCACCGGGAGTCCAGGGACCACCAGGATTTTGCGAATTTTGTAATTACCCAAACAGTAATTACATACAGTTCAGTCGTGGCAATGAGAAAGGTCCTTGATCCAACGATATATAGAACAGATGTATTAAAATATTGATTTTATGTATTTTTTTTTACGCAAATATATTTATAGTTTCAACATTCGTTTCTTCAACAAATCACTGCGACGTAAAAATATGTTACTTTTTGAGACTCTGTTTTACAATTTAATTTACTCTTGGCGTATCTTTCTTTTTTTTGTCAATTTAGTTTATTTATGTATTAATATTTTAGTACTACTCTATGTTTTGTGCTCTCTCTTTCTCTCTCTTTGTTAAAACTTTAATAAAGCGACTTACACGCTGATTTTACGAGATACCGCGATACGCAAAAAATTCAAATTCATCGCGCGTATACACCGCGGTCCGATTCTGCGTTCTCCCGTTCACGTTGGGCGACGGACGGCGCCACCAAACGGGTTCTCAAGACTCGGCGATGGCCAGTGATGGCCGTGGAATTCGCGACGTGCGTCGGATCGAGCGGCAAGTCTGTTTACCGTGACGTTGTCCCGGGCGAGAATACGTTTCGCGTCCCGGTTTTGCGAGGAATTCGGCTCGCTCGCCGGCGGAAATCGATCGTGCGTGCGTATTTCGAACGTGTCAACGACAACCGCAAAGACGTATTGACAAGACGGTGGCTCGCTACGTTTTTCGTTTTGACAAAACTCGCTCCCGTGGCTGCGAACGCTCTCGCGTGCAGCAGGAACCGCTGCACTCCCCGCCGCGAGCGTACCGCGGGGAGTAAACCGCTTATATAAACGCCGACTTATTATTGTGACTCGTCTCGTTTGATATAATGCCGCGGTGGGAGTGATAAGAGGGTGCGAGGGAGGCATTCGACGAGAGTACGGGGACGACGACTCCACGCCCCCGTCCGGTATCCTTTTTTTTTTCTCCCTCACTGAAGAGACACGCGCGCAGAGAGCGCCCCAGGTGTAGGCAGGTGAGTGTACACGGATAGAGGTACACCAACCGGAAGAACAGGTTAGGGTGCCTGTACCACGAAGGACCACTTACGAATATATTCTCGCGATGTCCATTTTCTTATCTCATTTGCAATTTTATATCCACAGCTTTTTTTTTTTTGCGCTCCTTTTGTCCAATATTTGTGCGAGAGCAATATTTTGCATTTTATTGATCATGCGTGTTTACACTTTTCTTGAGTGTAACACAAAAAAATCACACACTGCGACTAGAGAACTCAAGGAAATATTATTTGTTAATAGAACGAAAAAAAAAACTAGTACGTTATGTTTGCGAATTTCGAAGTCTTGTAAAATTTAGTTATTTATTTATTTTTTTTATTGACAGCCGCACTTCAAATTGATTTCAAGAGACTTCACGTGATGGACACACGAAACAAGGTCTATCTACTTGATAGTCCTTTGCGTTATCAGTTTGGGGAGCAAATTCTTCCAAACAAACATTTCTTTGTTTTAAACCAATTGACGGTAAACAGCCGAAATTTTCACTTTGACTGTGTTGCAAGTTTTCAATAAATGACAAAAAAAAAAAAACAATTTTTATTCAGAGAAACTTTAAGGGACAAAACAAATATAATCCATAAAAAAGTACGACAATATTGCGATAATAGATAGAGAAAATTGCTGCAAAAACAGTCAATGTGTGTTAGTTATTAACGCACATCAATAATTTACTGTTTATTAAAGAGAGACTGTTTTAATTTTATATTCGCGTTTTTGTTAGGATTGCCAATATCATATTTCACGTGGTATTGGCAATCGAAAAATCTTTGTATTAATAAAACAAATGTTTGAAACAACATATCGATGTTTTAACAGCGTTATTTCAATTGCAAAATACATCTACCAATTATTCGCCCTTCGCGTTTATCTTTTTATAATGGATTGGGAACAAAAAAAGAGGGCTAAAAATAGAAAGAAAAGCAAAACAACAAATTTAAAAAACAAATTCGCGAATAAACGCTATCAGTTTTCTCATCAATAAAATTTCTAATTACACGTTATTATAAATTTCGAATTATGCGTAATAAAAGTGATAAACATAAATTACACAGGGGGAAATACATAAACCTCGGCTACGTGTCGTCGTCCATATTGGTGAAATTTTGTGCCTTCGACTGTCTCTAGGTGAGAAATCTGTTGTGATCGGTTAGGGATAAAATATATCGTTTTCTTCAACGATACGAAATTGACCGCGCCTTTTAGCCACCCCATTTCGCACATTCCTTCGGACTATCCGGCGTGTTCCTTTCCCGACCGTTCCCCCGTTTCTTTGGCCCGATCTTATGTTCCCCCACCTAGGCTCACTTTATCGTATTGATTCAAACTTAGGCATTCGCGTTTAGTTCTCTCATTCTGTCGAACTCATCGGCCAACATATCCTCATTGCTTCCTGATCCAGTCTATTTCGACCTAATTTTGCTACAATAGAACCAATCAGTTACTAAAACGGCTGAGAAAAATGATATTTGACGTTATAGCAAAAATTATATATTTTTTTTTGATTTCTTGAAAACAATAAATAATTTAAAGTCGCGACGGAAATTGAATACAAAGAAAAAATGAAAAAAAAGAACGTTTTGCAACAAAAATTTTGTAAAATGATATCTATCTCGATTATCATATGCGATTGAATTGAGAGCTAAATAAGCCGAGAGATAGAGTTTCACAAGCTCTCTTTACATATAGTTAGAAATCTTTTTGGAGAAAAAGAGAAAGATGTGCAAGAGAGAGAGACAATGAAAAATTAATGTAGAAAAAACAAATCGTTGCATGCTTCTGACACTCTGTCCGACGGTATATAACGCACGGTTCGGTTTTTTAAAACCAATTATATTTCGAACACACACATATCGACATTCACTAACTGGGTCGGTTTACGTAAACAGAAACGGTATATCATTACCGGTTGAATAACTCCGAATTGACTTTTTCTTTTTTTGAAAATATATACGCGTGTCTTGCATGCATGTTTCCACATAAAAGAGTTTGCGAAGAGAAGCGTTCACATAGTAAAAAAAAAAAAAAAAAAAAAAAACACAGTATGGAGGGAAAAAGAAAAAGCAAGAGTTTTATACACATTGTTTTGCCATAACGTAAACTTAATTTTTTTAAGAGATATTACCTAAAAACCTGAATTGTGTAAAATCATTAAAAAAATGTTACAATCTAAAAAAATGTTTTCGCAACGCTTTCATTCGGCCCAGTCGATCAGAACTCATAAATCTGAACAAAAGGGTTAAAAATCTTTACGTGTTAATAATGCCGCACCAGATCGCTTCTATGAGATAAAGTAGATCGTGCTTAATTGTTCCTAATTAACTCTCTCTCTCTCTCTCTCTCTTCCTCGTCGGTACATCGTTAAGTTGATGAACAGTCTCATTCTCGCGATCACAATGCGACGACGTGACGTCTCCTACGAGCTGCGAATTAAGAACAGCTTCACTAGTTGCTTCTAGTTCGCGCGCTACAACAATACAATATCTCATGTGATTAAAAACGAGATACACAAACATATACATATATTTATATCTGAAACGGTTAAATCTTACATTAAACATCCATAAATCCGAGTTGAAGAATTTATATATGGGAGAGCTTTTCCGCAAACACGCACCTATTGTGATTTATATCGCGCGAATGCGGCTGTGAAAAAATATGATCAATTCTGAACGGGAGTTTTATCGGGAGCTTTATTTTATTTATCATATTAAAAAAAAAAAAAAAAAAAAAAAAACAATTTCCTGTACGTTGCGTCGTAACGCAAGCGTGTTGCGGAAAAACATGTTTAACATGAGTCAATTAGCTATAGTCTAGCGAGTCTACGTGATTACTCATTCAAGGACTCTTAGCGTATATTCACTGATCTTTCAACGGATGCATAATAAATTTGCTGCGCTTTGAGAGAGGAAAAAAAAAAGAAAACAACACACAGGCCTCTCCCGCGATCGCGAACACAGCTCGTTGCGAAACAACGCTCGCTTACGTTAGGTCGCGATTAAATTCTCGCGAAACGCGAAGTACGGAGTTAATGAACAAGTGCGTTTATCATCATACGTTTGCTTTGCGCAGCGAAAATGGCCGAGGAAGGTGGTGCGGGTGGTTCAGCAAACGGAAGCAGCGGTGAGACGAGTCGTCTGCAGCTTCTGCAGGAGATGCGACAGCAGAACTTCGATACCATAAGATTCGCGTCGTATCGCACCGCTTGCAAACTGAGATTTATTCAGAAGAAAGTGCATCGTAAGTACACCCCGTTTGTGTGATTCAAATCTTCATATTTTTGTCTGATCTCGAAAAAACAAAAAGAAATGTAAATAACCCCCGAGCAAGGATCTCTGTTCCAAATCTAGAGGTAGATAAAACCGCAGCGCTAATTTTCTCACTCGTACACAACTGTGCTAACGTCAATTAGTAGTCGAGTTTTGTTTTGTTTAGAGCAATGAAACCAAAGAACGCGTTGAAGCGTTTCGTTTGTTCTGTTTCACACAAATTAACTCTGTTAATATTATTTAAGACAACACATACGCGCGCGAAACAGTCTAACATAATTTTTAATCATTGTATACGTATTTTGTTTTTTTTTATTATATGTACGCAGTGCACAATGTCGACATATGGAACGTGATCGAGGCATTTCGAGAGAACGGTCTGAACACACTGGAGCCGTCGAGCACGTTGGGAGTGTCCCGGCTCGAAACACTGCTGTCTTCCTTGTTCCACGCGCTGAATAAGAGAGTGCCGGTGTCGCAGCAAGCCAAGGTGGACGCGACCACGGCGTTACTCATGAACTGGCTACTGGCCGCTTATACCAGCGGGTACGTTAACGAAACATCCGGTGATAATCCATCTCGGTGATTTCTTGTCCGATCGAATCGCACGATTTTTTTCCAGGGAAAACAATAAAATATCCGTCTTCTCGGTGAAGGTGGCACTGGCCACGTTGTGCGCGGGAAAGCTCATGGATAAGTTCCGATGTAAGCTGATTGGATTGTTGTCGCTCGACCGATCGTTCGCTTCGCTTGAGTGTCACTTTTATTAACGAAATTTATATTCCACGCAGATATATACTCGCAGATATCGGACAGCAACGGACACATGATACACTGGAGGTTCGCCGATTATTTGAAGGAGGTTCTGGCTTTGACCGCGGCCGTCTACGAATCGCCGTCGTTCGGTTATTCCGACGGTCTCGCCAATTCCATCTTTCCCGCGGTACGTATGCAATGGGTGTGCGAGAGACGGTTCTGATACATTAACGAAGTCGTGTAACTAACGTTGGTGCGTTGTGTGGATGACAGAATTCCAAGGTCACCGTGAACGATTTCCTGGACACGCTCATGTCAGATCCCGGACCCCACTGCTTAATCTGGTTGCCGTTGTATCACAGAATGGCAGCCGTAGAAACAGGTAAAACGCCGGGATTATAAGATCTGATACACATTGTTGTTTGGATTTTTGAGAAAAAATTTTATGCGATTTTTTTAATTGTTGTTTTTTTTTTAGTGGCTCATCCTATTGTATGTGACGCGTGTCACAAAGAGAATTTCACAGGATTTCGATACAGATGTCAAAAATGTCATTCGTATCAGCTGTGTCAGGACTGTTTCTGGCGCGGTAAAGTTTCGGGAACACACAATAACGATCACGAAACGAGAGAGTATAGTAGTTTTGTAGGTCCTATTCGTTATTTGCGTTTTTGTTTTTCTCGAATTTTTCTATTATTATCAACGATTTTAATTTTTGTTCGTTCAGAAATCGCCCAGCAAACAGATCGGCCATTCGCTGCGAAAGAGCTTCAGGTGCGTTCCCGAGAAGGGAAAGAACAGTCTGCCACGATTCCCGGAACAGCCCGAAAAGACGTTAGACCTGTCGCACATAGTGTTAGTATCTTTATCGTGTTCTTGCGATTGTTCGGCGTCTCTCTCTCTCTCTCTCTCTCTCTCTCGGCAGAATTTTACAGTCTAAATAAATTCCACTACGTTCCAGCCCACCGTCACCTTTACCATCTCACAACGGTTTTCCAGATCCAGGATTTATGGCACCCTTTGATTCAGGATCGGTGGACAGCCGTTCGACATTGCGAAGGTAAGTCCGAACGTTATTCGTAGTTTACACAGAGTTTATTTGCCTTTTGCCGTTCGCGTGAAAACGCCATGCTTTACTTATTCCTTTTGTATATCGTCCAGTATGGACAGTTCAAGACTGGACGATGAACATAAATTAATAGCACGATATGCACAAAGGTTGGCACAAGAAGCTAGGACAATGGTAAGTGTTTTTTTGATATCTACATTTTACACGCTTTGCTGTATTTAGTTAATACGCGCAGTATATAATTCGCTTTGATTTAAAAACGCGAATATCTCTATTCTCTCTAATTCGCAGAAGCCGCGAAAGCTAATTGAGTTAGTTTTGCAAAAAAAAGTGCTCACACTTGTTAGCACTAATAATTAATTTTATAACTGCTTCGTTAACAGCCTCGTACCGCGTCGAGAATGTCCCAGGCAGATCAAACAGTAAGTAACACACCGTTTAAACGTATCGCCGGAGGTTTCGCGTTACGGACCGTCTCACGCCAAAACCACGTTTCTGATTGCAGGGCAGAGCACCGTCGGACGCGAACCTGGTGTCGTTGGACGCGTCACGGGCGCAGCGTGAGCTCATATCACAGTTAGAAGCGAAGAACAAGGAAATAATGCGCGAGATAGCAAGGTTAAGGTATACCTGTGTCGTTTATATTCCTTTATATCAAGCCGTAACCTCGATTTCATCCTGTGGTTGACCCATCCTAGGATCACGCATGTTCAGAACGTCTTCTGTTTCGCTTGGTGTAACCTTGGTTGCGCAGCTTGCACGATAAAACAAAAACAAACGATACATATGTCTACGTACTTCTTGACTCTTAACTAATAATTGGAAATGATATTAATCGTGTGTGTTAAAAAAAAAAAACGATACGCGAGAGAGATGACCTCGTTAATATCAATCATTCTTATGTCATTGGCCTCATTCTTATCATGTTTCAACTGTTAGAATCATATACTATTACATTGACCACACTTCACATTGCTTTATAATAGAACGAGAGAATTTAATAAAGTGGAATATATTTTTTTACATACTATAACACATAAGACTGAGATTGTGTGTATGTAACATATGTTCCACTTTATTGCGTTATGCTTGAAAATTTCTGAAGACATTCTTCTCATATCTTTTACAGAAGACAACAAGAGATTGAAGCTGCGGGTCTGGAAAATCCAGCGTTAATGTCGGAATTACGAGCTTTGAGGCAGAGGAAGGACGAGCTGGAAACGCATCTGGCAACGTTGCAAGATTCCAGAAGACAGCTGATGGTACAACTAGAAGGTCTAATGAAAATGTTAAAGGTATTTTGAATATAATGGTCTGGCTCACATATAAGACAGTTTTATATTTCTTATTTCTATAAGAAACTTTTTTTAAAACACTGCTTGAAGTTTGACCGATAAAGAGACTTTCAATATTTCAGAATTTCAATATTGTATAATTCCTAAGCAGAAATCACATCGTTATTGTCGTTTTCATATAGTTTGAAACAATAATTCAGCGTGATTTGTTTGATCTTGCGGTAGAATCACCAAGCGTCGCCGCGTTCAACCCCCAACAGTTCCCCACGAAGTACGAAATCACCGCCCTTGCCACCTGGCGCGATTCCGAGCAGTAGATCGGCACCACCGACACCCGGCGGGCCTTTATCCACGACACCTCAACAGCAACAGCAACAGCAGCAGCAGCAGCAACAGCAGCAGCAACAAGCGTCTCAGCAAATGTCACAGAGTTATCAAAGTCCTATTCCAACAACGACGGTGGCCAACGTGCAAGGCAACGCTATACTTGGCACAATACAGAATCCTATTCCAGATAGCTTGTCGTGCGTTGGCGGCGACGTAAGGTAGGCAAGCATGTAACAGACAAAATATATTATTGATGAAAGCGCGAAGCGCTTTCTACAACGTGTAAAGAATAAAGCAGCGACAGACAGAAAATTTATAAACGAACAACTATAGCACTAATGCATAATTCGTAAAAAAAAATCTATAAATACGCTATATAATCAAAAATCTGTTCATTTCACCTAGAGATGTATTTACAGTCAAATTTTTTGAAAACCCGTTACATTCCATGTACATAAAAATGCATTTTGATAATTGTATGCAAGTGATATTAAATTGTGCACCTAAATATTGAAGCAAGTACAATTAATGATACAATCAAACAAAAATAAGCATTTAATGTAAGGGAATAAGAAAAAAAGAATATATACAATATACATAGAAAAGAAGAATTTAGAAAAATTTACTGTAAAACAAGAGACTGTATTCAAGATAATACGCTTCCAAATTACAATTGATCAAATTAACAAAAAATCAGATTTATATATCATATTACTGTACATGAAATACATATTCCAGTCGTGTGCGTAATTATTTGAAAAATCAATTTCTGTCTATTTATTATAATTGGCATAAAAAGATATATATATATATACATATATATATATACTACGCACTGTATAATAGAGCTTGGAAATGTACGAGTATCCGTTTTACTCGTTGCTCACAAATTCTAACCGAGCAACGGTAAGAAGAAAATGTGATGAAAATTCTCTTTTAATAATAAAAGTCACAAAGTATCTGAAGAAAAAAATCTTACGCGCGGTACAAGATGTATTAAAAAATGAAAATTTTAATTTCACTAATAAAGCAAGTGAACGAAACGAACAAAATGAATAACGAGTGCAATTTGTTATCCGCTTTTTCTTCCGAGCTCTATTGTACACGTGTATTTGACAATTAGTTGAAAAATTCCTAAATCTCCACCTGCATGCTAATACAAAAGATATAATATTTCTAATTAAGCTAGTATTAAGATCAATATGGTACTAGCGCGAAATAAATATGAGGCACAAGGAATACCTCTCTCTAACTTAAATCGTCAGATCTATATCGACTTATATATATATATAGTATTATATATAGTATATTACAGTAGAAGTATTTTGTATATTCATGTGTCATGTCGCTTCTATTCCTATTCTAATGATTTTGTTTTTAAGTTATACTAGGTTCGATAAAGTTTTCTTATATATATATTTCTTATAGATATCTTCTTTTTTAAGTTTGCTATCATTGTTAGTCATGGTAAATATATTATTATGTACAGTACAAAAACAAACTATACCCTATATTAAGAGACATGCGTTGGATAATAATAAGTTTGAAACGCGTATGAGTTACCTTATCCATTCCTCTCCCCCTTCTGTTAAATTTGTGTAAAACATCACTCATTCTTTAAGTATTGTTATTTTGTATTTATCACGCTAATAATTTATCACGTTGCGTTATATACAAACATACCGTGTTGCAAAATAATGTAACAGTTATAAACAATGGCAGATATTATTCAAACAGATCACAAAGAATTTTGCGATACGTTCTTATAACTTTGCCATATTGATGTATTTTCGTTTGAATACATTGTATATCGTTACATTATATATATTGTAGGATATATCAGTAAATATATATATATTGCAGCATATATTCCGATATCGTGCATGTGTGTATTGTTACGAAAATTGATGATTTGCTAAATTTTAATTTTGAAACTTCGTAGATGCTTGTATTGTCTTGATTGCGAGTAACTATAGTGAATCTGAATGTATGAGAGAATTTATACAAGTGGAATGACGATAATGCTTGTGCAATAAAAAAAAAAAAGTTGCATGCTGCGATTTCTGTTAAAAACAAAAAAAGAAACAAACAAAACTTTTTTATTTGGAAATTGCTTCGCGCCAAGAAAATAGAGATTTTCGATGTCAGGTCTGCGTTCAGGACAAACAGCTTACCAGGAAGCGGTTCCAGCAGTGCCAATAATAGTCTGGGCCGATCTTTAAGAAACGACTTACTGGTAGCTGCCGACAGCGTCACTAATGCTATGTCGACACTTGTGAGGGAACTAAATTCAGGTATGTTGAAACAACAATGTGCTATAAAATCGATTAGTTGTCTGAACTACAATATTCATCAATTGGACGTAGACGATGTAAAGATCAAGCTTGAAAATATCTTTTATTACACATTATATGTTAGAGAAAGAAAAATATTAAATACTATAAATTAAATAAGAAAGTTCACGAGATATTTTCAGTTTCAAATTAATCCGAAATTTTTACTTTGATTTGTCAAATCTAACACTTACTTGTGTGTATAGATACACATATACAAAAAACTCTTTCACATCATTGACGTAAAAATCGTCTTGCACAACTACGTCCAATTATGCTCACACATACACACACACACACACAGTCTTATATAGTACAACTAATTATAATATCGTTCGATCTAGTTTTCTTTATAGTACGTTAAATTTATTACACATATAGTTCGGTATATTCATACATCACACAGAGAGAAATGTATTACTATCTCAGGTGGAAGGTAATTCTTGTGTAAGAGGCAATACAAATTTGTTGCCTCGTGAGATATACAGATCGATTTTGAACACCGCAAGCTTAGCTACGTATCTATTTAGTATCTTTATCGCCGTGTTTTTTAGCTGGCATTTAGCATGTTAGTGATACAGATTTTATGATGAGCAGTTTCATCAGCGGAGCTGTAAATATATATACATACTATATATAGTTTTAGAATCTTAACCCGGAATACACAAACTCTTCTCGCACACAGTATGTATACTACATATTTTTATAATGTTTTTCAACTCGACTTTCAAAGCTGTAAAAATCCAGGACGTTTTTTTTATTTTCCTCTTAACCGTCTACACTTTGCCTGTCATTTAATATATATATATATACATATATATATCATCTGTGACATCTATATACCGTCGAGATATTTTTCTCGGTCATCGCATCGATTGAATGTAAACAGGCATGCCACATTTATATTATATTTCATTTTATATCGTCAAACTCACACACATATAGCATGAGAACATGCTACTCTATCTGTTCTTAGTCTCGATATTCATATAAACAATTTGTAGATCACATCCATACTGATGTATAACATCCGTTATAACGTTGAGACATTTCGTGTTGAACATATCGAAGACGATAAAAATTCGGACGCGCTTGACGATAAAATTTTTGATATACTTGTGTATTTGTTATTCCGGAGAATCCCCCCCCACGTAAGTATAACAAGCACTTGTTGCAAAGAGATACCCGAACAACGATCTTGATAAGAATCATCTATTTCACTTTTTTCACAACTTTCGTTAACAACTCGTCACAACTTTTGATAATGAAAATGATTGTTATTGAATACGTAAGAGATTTTATAAAAATATTTTGTATACATATATTAGGGCTTCACATCCGAGATCGAGTCCGGTCCGGAAATTTCAAATGCGCATTATTCTCAACACAGTAATTTAAATTTTACATTTACATTTATGTATATCATACAAGCACAATCGTTTCCGGACACAAGTCATATGTATATAAATCTTTCTCTTCACGTTTTGTCAGTGGAGCTAAGTTCCAAAGTTCCGAACAATCATAGCATATTTGCCTGTTACCATTTCTACACTTGATTTTATTTTCTTTCTATAGACCATAGAGTTAGTTGATACATTAGCTTAGTGATAGCACACGAATTACACTTACACGCAGAACCACAAATGGCAGTATCAACAATTCGATATCGCAATTCCGAAAAATGAGCGGATTACTTCAGTTGTACAAAATTTGTTTCAAAACTGACATCATTGACAATAGTTTAATCGGTATTTCAATCGCAAGAAAAAATTGGGATTTATAAATTACTTTTTTTTTAATCTAAATTTTGTTTAATGATATATCATAAGAGATAAAAAAAAAAAAAAAAAAAATGAGAGAATTTTAATTGTAATAAGAGATTTTATGATATATTTCAAAGATACGTGTGTATAAAGTATATACTTTTTTCGAATCTAATTTGGCTGACAAAACAGACTTCTGATATATATACAGTATATACAAATGACACTTTAGACGTGTTTTTTGTGGAATGTGTGTAATGCACCCCCCTGTGAATGTGTCCTGGTGGCTTGCAGACTCAGACCAGGAGGATCATTCTCACAACTCTGGGCTAATAAACATCAGAAAGCCGCTAGGTAAGTATCTTTACATCAACTTTGAATTTTTCATTATTTTTGGTTTTAGTCTTTTTTTTGCTCTTTTTAGATATTTGCAATTCTCGCTCTCTTCTATATATATAATCGAAAGAAACTATTTAAGATCTTCCAAATAATTGTCGACGAATTTTATACATGGCGATGTTTTAATTTAATTTTGTTTCTCGTTGACTTTTTTTATTTCGCAAATTAAACTGTACATATGTTAATTATACATATACATACATATACACACGTATATATATATATTTAGAAACATCTTCGCTTTCGCATTTCTTTCATCATCGTCATCATCATCGTCATCATCGTCATCATCATTAGAGAGCATCAGGCATCATCATGTATACTTCTGACGATAGTATATATTATACGATAAAGTCGCCTTATACAAAAAATTTTGTATATTCCAGTAACTTAAACGACCAATAGACTGTATTTTATAATCGAGTTTTATATATTCACCTCCGTACTTGTATAAATTTTATGTAAAAAAACTAATACATATAAATTTTCTTATTGCGAGCTCTTTGAAGATGTCGAAAGACCTTCTCGGAAGTAAAATCAAGTTTATCTCGAATAAAAACACGCTCTCTACCCTTAATCTTTTGTCGTTCCGAATCGAAAAGACATGAAAACGAAAACTCTTTGTTCGTGAATTTTTGAGAGATCAAGTCGCAGGTGAATTTTTGAAACCAAGTTTGCGTGTACTTTTGTAGACTTTGAAGCTGGTGAAGATGGGGACGACAGCAGCGGCGGCGGAAATTCCTGGCGAGAAGAGCTGCAACGACGGTATCAGCAAGAGAACGACTTTCTGGCGGAACTGCGAGCTCGGAACGCCAACATACCGCAAACGCCGTCGGCTACCCTGTCCAGCGAGCAGGAGCAGGAAAGAGGCGAGCGAGAGGAAGCGGACGGAGAGAAGGAAGACGAGAACGAGTCCAACTGGGCGGAAGCGGTGAAGAGATGGGTCAATCGATAAACCGACGTAATATAAAAAAATTGTATCGCGCGTTATTAGAATATCGAAGACACGTTTAAACAGTCGAAAAAAAAAACCAATGCACAAGTGAACGATCGACAAGCCCCGTCGGGATTATAATTACGTACGCACGCCGTATACTTTCGATATATTGTTACACAAAATGTAATCCTCTCGTTAGAGAATTGAATGTTGTAAGTCTCTGGACAATTCAATATATACCATGCATTTATATGCGAGAGATGGTACTTGCAATCAAAAAAAATATGACACAAAGTTCGAACAAAAATCGTTACAAAAAGATTTTGTTTTTCTCACGATAATCAAGCGATCGTCGATCGATTCTTTCAAAAACGACATTGTGCGAGCGAGCGTATACATATATATATCATGGTTTTTTGCTACTTTATACGTATTCTGCGACGTGTGAACAAAACTTTTAGAGTTTGTTGAACATACATCTCTCCTCCGTACGTATATATAAGAAACTATACATAGATAGAGAACTCGAAACGAACATAAACATATATATTTGCGTTTTTTATTATCTATATATATATTTCTTATTTACTGTTATCACAATTGTTACATTTGTAATTAATACCAAGCGATGTAAACGCAATACACACGGATAAGCTCCGTCTACTTCCATCTCGTATATATTCCATTTCGGCTTATACTTCCGCAATCATGATCAACAACACGCATCTCTCTGTACATATTTGACAATCGGATTATTTCCGATTACACATACGCTGATTCGAGGGGGGGAAAGGAGGAGGATTCCATTCTTTCGCAATATAAAAATACATTAACATATAAGTACACATTCATGTTTGTATACCGTAAAATAATTCACAAGTCACGCGCGGTGAGAAAAATTTTGCAGTTTTGCATTTTACACAAAACCAAAATCTGAAAAATTAGTAAGTAGCCTTGTAACTTTAATAACAGAGAGCCCAAAGATAAATCGCAGTTAAATCATGTTTTCTAATGTATATCACAAGTTTATACATATATATATATACATAGGTGTAGAGATTTAGTTAAAAACGGAGAACCAAAGAATGTTTTTTGTACATTCGTACCACTTCGAAATGCATCGCGTGCTATTTAAACGAAAAAAAAAAAAAAAAGAGTAATATATATATATATATGTAAACGAACATAAAAAAGTATCGACGTACGTAGATGACGCTTTGAATAATGATTTTTTACCGCTTTTACAGTTTACGAAAGAAAGAGAGAGAGAGAATATAGAAAGAAAACTAGTCCTGCGAGTATAACGCGCATATATATATATATATAAAATATATATATATACAATAATTGATTTTCCAGAGTTTTTCTAGAGTGTAAGAAAGTCACACATTCCGATTAGTTAGAAAACAACAAACTGTTATATCGATAAGAACCAACGCGTTTTGTAATATTCAAATACGACATGCTGGTGTATCCTGTGTATATATATTACATATACAGTTTCGAAATTTCCTTTGTCTACATACAAGTGTGATGTAGCTTCCACATGATATAAAAAATACATGAATAAAAACTTTATAGATACAGATCGAAATATGTGTTGCTTGATTTCTCAACCGAAATTAAATGCAATTTAGTCTTGTCTCTCCTAACGCGGGATAATTAACATCTTAAAAACTTTTATCTTTCATCTCATCTATTATTTTATCTTTTTATCTACATCCAGTTGCACTCGTGCGGTTCTACACTTGTTCTTACCCGTTCTTCGCAGAGCGAAAACTGTACACATGGTGGTCGAGCACTGTGTGCGTCCGTGTTTCTCGTTAAAGAGCATCCATTAATTTAAAAAAAAAAAAACAATGCACAGATCACAATTTATTGGTTTGGATGATAAACCGTGCGACACAAAGTGTCCCATGTGTGATTGCACGTATGTTCTTCCGACAAAAGAAAAGGATTTTCTCACGCACTTGTTCAAGATGCACCGTCTTGTTATAGGAGATGTTTGGAAAATAGCCAGTTTAAAGAGGTGTGTATATAAACAATCAATTTCTCATTTTCTCGTTATATTTGTTATCATATGCGTACTGTAGTCTACTCACACACTCACACACATAAAAAACAACATTCTTTCTAAAAAGAAAAACCCCAATGTGTAATAACAACCTCAATATAAATTGTTTTTCAGTTACGTGCATTATTGGAATGTAAAATTTAAGGAAGCGCCACTGACAAATTATTGCACCACAATGTTAATGGATTGCACACCGGATGGCCAGCCAAGTAAAAGTGAACATTATTACTTACTGTCGGATTGTTTGTCGGAAGATAAGATCTTGCGAGAAGAGATACACCTAGCTAAACTAGTACGTATGTGCACACATCTCTTAACGAAGAGAGAACATACTTGAGAAGTAACAATTTATTCAATTCAGGAATGGGCATTAGCGCAACAAGAAGTTGAACGTACCGATACCAGTTTCAAACGTGGCTGTATGTTTTGTCGCATGGAATTTCACGGATCGCGCGCCACATACATAAACCATCTTTATCAGAAGCACAATCTCTATCTCGGCAAACCGGAAAATTTAGTATTCGTCGACGAGCTGTTGGATAAAATTCAGAACAATATTGAAAGGTATATCACATCATTTCGAGCAAATTTGTACAGTGTTTTTGTGAAATATTATATACAAACACAATACAACAATGCTTATATATATTTTTGTAGTTTAATATGTATTTACTGTGAAAAGATATTTAAAGATCGCACGGTATTGAAGGAGCACATGAGGAAAAAATTTCACAAATACATAAATCCCGATAACAAGATGTATGACAAATATTATATAATTAATTATCTGGAACCAGGAAGAACTTGGAAACAAAAGGTGTAATGTTGTACTAGAGCTTATGAACTTTTTCATAACAAAAAAGGACTTTTATTATTATTTTGAAATGTGATAATGCAATTTTCTACATAGAGTTGTTTGGAAGAGAGTTCAGATCTAGGAGGTTACAATAGCGAGAACGAAGATAGAGAAACTTCGTGGTCCGATTGGAATGACGAATCTGTTGGAATAATATGTTTATTTTGCGAATACAATAATGAAGAGTTCACTTGTATCCTGGGACACATGAAAGACGCGCACAGTTTCGATTTTGAAGCAACGGTCAAGGATTTGACCTTTTATCAAAAGGTTGGATGTGTGTCATGTGTCTTTTTCTACTTATATCAAAAGATAATTGCATCGATTGTTCGATTGATATTATAATTGTTACACAGGTAAAAGTGGTTAATTATATAAAAAGGCAAATTCAATTGAGACGATGTATTTTCTGTGAAACAGAAACAGACAATGTATTGGAGCACATGGCAAATCAACAGCATTGTAAGCTTCCGGAAAAAAGAGTTTGGGACCAACCAGAGTCAGTATCACAAAAATTCTATTTATTATAATTATATTATTATAATTAATTACATATTATTTTACTAGAGAATTGCATTGAATTCTTTTGTTTATTGCAGATATTATTTTCCTGTGTCTGAAAATGACTCATTTTTATACAATCTTGACGCAACTAGTAACAGCGATGAAGAAAGTGATTGCGAGAATCTTACTGAAGCAATGTAAGTAATTGAAAGAAAAACATTGTTTTAATATTAAATAACAATTGTAAACAAGTAACATATATTTCAGGTGTAATTTATAACAATGATATCATTATCTCAGTCTTTTGTAAAAAATACTGTAACATGCTAAGAATAGTATAATTAACAGTGATAGAGGATGATTGCAGAAAACGCGGAGCAACAAAATGTATAATACATGTATCTCTTGTAAAAACAATTTTAAGTTTTACAAACTAGACTTGTTTATAAAAAATATATAAAAAACATATATATAAATTTCTTCTAACATTTATTACGATCTTTACATATACACACAATGTATATCACTTTTTTATCCTAGAAAAAAGTTGCTTACCACGTACTTTAGAAACAGCTCTGTTCGCTGACGACTTTTCATCCGTTGGCAAACATTTTTCATGCAGAGCTTTGTACAACATTTCAGCATCATTTGTATTCCCAAGAATTTCTTTTAGTTCTTCCTAATTTATACACACAAGATTATACACAATTGCAAGTTATATATTAAAAATATTATTTATATTTTTATTACTTACTTGTTTAAGTTTGATAAGATGGTCCAATGATTGTCCTTTGTTCAATAAAATACGCAAATTCTTTGAATGTACACCTGGCAATTTGGCCACAAAATCCTGAATGTGAGAATTATATTTTTCTACCATTATCTGCTTGTCTTCCGAATCTTCATCCGCTCCAATTTTAGCAGCTATAGTTGAATCGGGTTGATCTCGTCCTTGCTATATAAGCAATACAAATCAAATTTGTTATCGATTGAATTCATCATCTTGAATAATATTTTTATTACCTTTAATTCTTCAAATAACTGTGCTGTCGCCTGTGGACTAGGAGACCATACGAGTCTCAGTTTAGGAAAATGAAGTGTCAACAACTGCAGCTTTCCTGTTATTTCTGTATTCTTGAGATCTTTGCTGACGTAGTAATGTCCCTGTAACAACAGAGAGAATTGCACACATAAAAAGAGAATCGTGCGCTTTCGTGTGCGCGCAAATGTTAGTTTTACAAAATCGCCTACCTGAAAACAAAACGGTTTGTTCTGATCAAATTCTATGAGGAGCATCGGCTTGGCGTAGTGTCTCGTCATAGCAACTGCCTGATTGTATAATCTTCCAGAAAGCAAAGAACCGATCAAATCGGATATGCTTTTTCTCTCAACGCATATTTCCGGCGTTAAAATATAATCACCGATCTGCAGTGACATTGAATCGCGTGAGGAATCGCGTGTCAAGAAGTATATGAGCATGTGGTATATAAAAAATGTTGATATAAAACTTTGAATATTTCTTTCACTTACCACTAACGTCACCGGTTCGATCTTTATGCCGCGCGTGTACAACATGGCGGGCAACTCGCTTCTAAATTCTCTCATATCAACAATAACTTTCGAAATTACTTTAGGTGCCAATTGCATTCCACCTTTGCGCGTGTTCTCTTGATCCGTGTTATCTGACTGAACCCCGAGAGCTGGACAATCCTCGGACTTTCCATCTTGATCTTCTGGCACAACCATGGTCTAGAAAATTTTTTATACGATACAATCGAAATAACGCGTTCTATTTATATTTGTAAGCACAAAAAAAAAAAACGCTTTGAATACTTACAGTCTTCGTGTTAATCAAAGAATGAAATGCTTCTTTCTCCCGTCGCAAGGAAGTGAGATATTCTTGTTCCTCGACGGATCCTCCGTAAATTAAAAAGAATACTTTCAGATCTAAGGACGGATTGATATTCTGATACACTTCCAGCTGTCTCACGGTCCCGATATCGGCTACGTACAGAATAATATTATTCGGCGTATGTTCGGTCAACGTTCGTAGCAACGCCATTGGATCTCCTCCCTTTTTTATAGCTTGTATGATGACTACGGGTGCGGATGTTGCGTGACTGCTCATATCCAAATCTGCCATCTTCAAAAATCACGAAAAGAAGTTTAGAGAAAAGAAGTTTAGAAACAAAACTATTATTTTCTATTTATTACAAAAGTGTTACGACATTTAATTTACTTGAGAACATTCTTCGAACAAAGTTTGATGTTTTATATCTTCCGTAGAAGTAGTCGGAGTCTCCTCATCGGTGCTTTCACCACACTTCTGCGACAAGGTGAGTACATAAGTGTCGTGATCACTTGGACTTTCCTCATCCGTGTTGCTTTCAGATGTCGATTGTTGTTGGTCGACCGTACTCTTTGTTCCGCTATTGCCACTTGGTTTTGGTTCCTTATTGTGAGACAATTTCTTTAGAGCCTCGTAAAGTAAGTATTTATTCGCGCCCATGGTTAAATAATTCTTTAACTGACGACATATATTATTATCATGCACTAAGACAAGAACTTTATCGACATTTTTATTGTCTCTCTTCTTACGTTTCTGCTCCTGAATCTCGAGCAATACTTCTGACAAGGCCAGCCACTTCGGATTCGGTTCTGGCTTGAGTTCGTTCTTGTCTGTGTAAACTCTGCTTTTAGCGTATTTGAACAAATTCTCGACTTCGTCCATCATTATCCAGCCGCTGGCCTTCACCGCGTATTCCATAGTTCGCAAACGATTCAACATCGCGTAAAATGAAACGGAGTCTTCGTAAGTTAAGGATATAATGAGAGACCTCAGGGTTTTTAAATCGGAAAACAGCTGTTTAGTCGTTGTGCTTAGTTGATGCCAGATCGGATCCAGTTGCAAATGCAACTGTTTGTGAAATTTCTTCGCTATTGCGTTCTCCACGGTTAATTCGTCCAATTCCAGATACTTATTGATCCTTTTCAATTCCTTCACAACGTAATTCATAATGTCGAGCAAGGCTGTTTGAATATTTTCCATCTTTGGCGTTATCTTCACATGCAGTTCTATAACATCGGGCTTATGCTTGGATAAACAATTGTTGATTATCGTGTGAAAGCGTGGCCATAAATACAATTTTTTTACAAATAGAGCTTTCATGACTCGTTCCACTTGCGAATAACCGACTGTGAAGGCCAACGAGGAGTTTGTAAATGCCTTGATAAATCCGGTCTTGTTGCTCTGTCTGTACAAACGTAGAGCAAACGCCTCTTGATATGCATTGAGAATATTGTGAGCTCTGTACACGAGAATACCAGTTACTAGATTCAGCGGAACTCTATTTTTTAACAGATCTACCACCAATATACGACCCGATATAAATAGCACTCCGCCTTCCAAATACATCGCTTCCCTGTTTGTTTGGATAATTAATTATTAAAATGTGTACACGTATATTAATTAAAATATCTTTCGGTATACCTGTCGTTAGAAGAACATTCAGCATTGACCACACGTGGCAATGTGTTTGTTCCGTAACTACTAAGCAGATCGATGAAGTAACGCTCATCATAATTGGTAGTTCCCAGGACTATAACCAGATTGCCCGGATCCGAATAAGCTTTTATCACATTTGCGAAAACAGTTTCAATGCCAAGGCCTCTGTAAATAAATTTTTTGTCATAACTTTAAAATAAAGTCTTTACACGACAGACATCAAAGACAGAAAAAATGGAGAACAATATATTTACTTGGCAGTGATAACCAGTCCATCCTCTTGAAGGATTTCAAGAAATATTTGATTTTCGTATTCCAACATGACGATTTGCGCAACTATGTTAACTTTCTTGACGGCTTTGTTAAAAACAGATTTAAATTACTGCGTGTCCGCACGATCGGATCACAAACATGCGAGTTAAAAACGCGGCACCTAAAATATTAGAATAAGACACTGTCACGATATTTTATACACACGTGAAACAATCGCGAACGTTCGCGGAGTAAGCGTTAACATCGTTCCTTTACGTACATCTTTCTATTATTGCAATTTACGATAAGTATCAATTGTTTAAATACTCTGCTACACCATGTTGAAAATACCTATGGCCAAGCATTGTTTGGCACCATTGATTGTTTATTTCCATACACATGTTCCTACGTCGATGATTGTTGGCAACAATGACGCACTGTCATTGTGGGGTGACGATGTTGCGTGACACAAGGTGTAAAATCCCACGCTGAGTTTCCGTTACTTTTTACTTAACATGTGCTCAATTGTGTTATAATTTGCACAATGTAAACAGTGACAACTGAAGTAAATGTTATTTATTATTTCGCGTGTCCGCAATAATTGTCTACACTGCCAAACATGAGCGTTTCCGCAAATCTCAAGAAACACAGCGTTCACTGTCAACCAGGTGTGTGTAAACCTTTCGTTTCATCTTATCGTAAATTGCAAACGATGACAGTTAAAAATAACGTGACAAAATTACATTTTTGATCGAGCGGTCGATCTGATATAATTTTTTAGATCTTAATATTTGTTTAATTCTTGAGAATTGATTCACGTGATATTGTATATTTAAGTTTTTAAGTATTTCATTGGTGCATGTCTCTCTCTCTTGTTTTTTAAAGATGTTCATATAATGGGTTGTGTCGAGCGAACGCAGGGAGACGGAATGGAAAATGTGACGGTAGACAAAGTTGAGACTAACAGCAGCACGACTAATAAGCAGACACGAAGTCGTTTGGGTGACACACTTATTTACCATCCTACGAATCTGAAGCAATTGGGGTCAACTGCTCCGGTCACTCCCACCGGTACAATAGTAAAGTTAGTGCCAAAGAATATTAGTAGCGCAAAGCAGGAAAAGCGTATTTTGCATTCCTTAAAGTTAAAAGAACCGAAGTTCGTACCGTACGAACCGTACAAGGCAGCTGTTAATCCGATAGTGCCACTGAAAAAAAAGAATAAAAAATTGCCTAGGAAGGAGTCAAATGTGAATTCTACAGTTGCTCAAATTGCCGCGATGAAGATTCAGGATTCGGATGCGAGAGCGAAGGATTGTGCCGAAGAAAGTCGAGAGAAATCGTGGGAGAACGAATGGAAGAGCGAGAAAGAGGCGTACGAGGCTGAAATTCGCAAACTGAAGGAGGAAAATAGTCAACTGGAAACCCAGTTGAAATTTCAAGCACAGGTAACGGAGATGGAGAACTATATCAATGAAGTTTTAAGAATCAGCAAGTAAAATCTTAGCCATTTACGTAATATATATTTGCGTTATAGGTCAATGGAGAGTTAAAGAATTTGTTGGTTGCTGCAGTGGGAGAAGATTTGGAAACAAGAGTCGATCTGTTGACTAAAGACAATCTGCAACTTGCACGAGCTCTCTTGAACTCTGCCCAGTCTCTGTCCACGCATCAAGAACAAATGGAATGGTTGGCAGGCCAGTGCGAAGTTTGGAGAAGTAAATTTCTAGCTAGTAGGTAATTGACAATTATATGTTCACTCAACACACACGGAATTATTACGGTCTTTGGTTCTCACAAATTTTAGTATCTCGTTTTATTTAAACTGTTGTACTTGTATTAAAATCAAGCTTACATTCACAGCTTAATGGTGGAAGATCTGGCGAGATGGAAAGCTGCCCTTTGCCAGAGAGCGACAGAACTGCAGGAAGCCATAAAACGACTGTTAGAAGAACACAACGTCATTCGCGATACATCGCTCAAAACATATAAGTAAGTTTTTATACTATATTGTTGTATATTGCGTGCATTTTCGTACAAATAACATTCGATTTTTTCTACAGAATGCTCACAATCTTGCGAGAAAAATTTGACGCTGTAGGAACAACGTCCGGCAAGAAGCATGAATTAGCCGGCGCTAATATTTTAGATCTTACTCAGGGATGTTGTCAACTCGCAGAAATTCTCAAAGTCAGTCTGCTCAGTGGTATTCCCGATTCGGAATTGCAAAAAGAGATCAACACAATTGGTTTGGATATGAAAACTCTTGCCGAGAATAACGCAGAAAAAGTAAGAGTAATCTTAAACACTTTAGAAGAGACCATGTGCCAACAATGAGATGTTTTTACTATAAAAAGTGTGGAATATGAATTTATAATTTAAATTACAGTTGTTGATGAATCAAAAACTTCCCATGACCGGAAGAGAGGATGTCGCTTGTACCGCGGTGATGGGAGCGGCAGTTGCAGTCGGCGGACAAATGTTCCTTCCACGATGCGATACTAACAATGTCACATGTTGCCCACATTGCAGTGGGGAAATTAAACAAATTTGAAAATAAACCCCTCCTCCTCCCCTTTTATATCTTCCATTCTCATTGCACTTTTGATACTAAATATATTAGATATTTCTTTAAAACACATCTGATTTAAATACCTTCTGTGTTTCTTTTCCACTTAAGCATCTATTTATGAGAAATTTGAATTTGTTCTCTTACGCGCACGCATTTTAGTTTTATACTGGTACACAGCCGCGCGCTATACAATCAGTGACCTCTCCGTAGTCGCGTGACCGAGGTTAGTGACCTTGGCGTAGTCACGTGACCGTAGTGTAGTATAATACCAGATAGAAGCCTAAGAGCGGCCACGTCCATAAGAGAATGTGTAATCACTTTTCCGCCCCGTAAACTAGCGAATGTCCACGGGTGATACACATTGGAACTACGCAGCCAGTCATGTCGGTGCGTTATGTCCACAGCGTGCGGTTCTATTCTGTGCTATGTGCACGAGTTTAAATGGTCACTTTCTTTAAATGTGTGAGTATATTCGAGAGCGTGAATTTGATTTTTTTTGAAATTTAAATTGACCGATCTCGCGATGAGAAGATGAGAAAGGAAAACAGAAAAGGATAAGAAAAACCATTGCAACTTTTCGTACAACATAAATGTGATATACTAGAAAAGATGTGATAGTCAAGAAAAGAATCTTATTTTAGCGAGCAGCATCAGAATTCGTAGAGTGTACTCAGGTACCATCTCCTTTATCATCATTTGCTGCTATTTGCTTTTATTTTTATACAAACGCTACATATATACATATAGTTACATTACAAAGTAAAAAAAATAGAATAAGTACATTATTTAAAATTGATTCGACGGTACACAAATATATGTGTGTCTGAAAAGTTGCATTTTCAAAAAATATATCTTTTACTGGTGTATTACAATTTATCAGAGTGTGTTACAATTTTTGAGTTTTACAATTTTACAAGTTTTTTTTACATATATATCGATAATTTTACAATAAAGTATATACATAATAAATACGAACCACACATGGCAATATTTCTGGCAAAATTACACTTATTGTATGCTATACTTCATCGCACATTAAATTCTCGATATAAATTTCATTTCCTGATGTTTTACAATTCGAATTCTTATTATTGAAGTCTTATATATAGTTTTTACATACAATAAATGTAACCTTACCTTACATAAACGAAATTTAATCTTACATTTACATGCATATGCAGTGATTCATATTAATCAGTGCATTTGCANTTTTCCTAATTTTTAAACCTGCTATATCCTACCCTAAACATCTATCTTAAACATTACTAGCCTTGTTAATCAGGATTAAGGCTGCATGGCACATGCCTTGATCCTAATCTTACATGTTTATTCCTACCTATATCCGCGGTCTAGTGCATTTTTTTCTACCTACTCGATTACAAAAATTTCCTACCTACCCGGTCTAACATATTTTCTACAAGCGTTTGTAGATCCCTACCTACATTGTTTTAGAAAGATTTAAAACCTATCAATATCGTAGATCCCTACCTACATATTTTTAGAAAGTTTTTAAAACCTATCAATATTTTACGCGAGGGAGACGATTGTTTTAAAAATACTAAGTAGTATTTTAGATATATTTTAGTTTCCCGTTCCGAGTTTTTATATTTTATGATTTAGAGAGTATATACCCACCCGATAAAAGCGTACCATATGTAAATAGATGAGATAGAATAAAAGAAAAGAA